TTGGACCACTGAAAAGTTCTGGGTGATATGAAAAAAGGGCATGTTTGTTAAGCATCGTCTCTTAACAAAAATGGTAGAGATTTGTCCCTGTTAAATCTGAACTCTGCCCCCAACCACATGTTTTTAAGCAAATCTTTAGAAACAACAGAATCTTAATTTTGATTAAAACTGATTAAATTTAGAGAGAACAATCAGCCCTAAACCTGTTATTATGCATCGCTTTGACTGACCCATCGAAGCAGATAATCTAGCACCATTAACCCTTATAATCTATAGGCCAATCATGTTTATTCCAGACGTGGCAGCTAAAATAAATACTGTTAAAATGTAGGGTTTTGTTGTAATACAGTGAGTTCTTGGATCTGGTTACCAATAGAAATGATTAGTTCAATATTTGTGAATTTACCTTTTTTAATATTTCACAGGAACGTACAATAAACTTAAAGAAATTGAAAACCACCAATAGTAGAATTAAGAACTTTAGAAAAGCAGGTTAATAAAACAGTTTGGAGAGTGGAGTCAGCCAAAACCTGCGATGCTCAATGTTTCATCTATCATCATGTATCCTTCTTGGCCCTGTCCCTGTCCCAGCCCCCCTGTGAGCTGGCAGAATCCTGCTGACAGCCCCATATCCAGTGAATGAGAGATCCCCCATCGTCAGCAGTGAAGGCCTGTTTTCACTGCCCAGAGTCTAACCCTCTGAACAAACTGAACGCACTGCAGAGTGAAAAACAGCTTTGTTTGAGGGGCTTTAGCAGCATAAGGACTTCTCTTGTTCTGGGCTCAAATACAGGAGGCCTACGGCTGCCAACTATTCAAATCCAGGTTTTAAATAACTGTTACAAGAGCACAGAATCGCATGTTGGAGTTATCGAATATCTTAATTAAAAGGTGCATAGTGTAGCTTTTCTAGTTGAGGGTCCAGCACCCGTTTGTCTCCATGAAGATGTTATTGATTTGCCTGGAATGTTCCAATGTTCCATTAAAAGTATTCATCTTACTTTTTTTTTCAATTACCAGGTGTGTTAAGAAAAAATGCAATCTGTGGCAACAACTAACTTATTTTGCTAATAAAGTATTTGGTTACTACATTTCAGTTCAACTTGTACTGATCACAGGCTCCAAAAATTCTATTCAAATTCAATTAAAAAAACAAAAAAAACTTCCATGGCAGTGTTTGCTAATGTGTGTGCACTGTGTCACTATGGTAACTGCTGAACATTCTGTCATAGAAATGCATGCAGTACACCCCCAGCATGATGTTACTGCAAAGTATCAATACTATGCAATGCTCAAAAGTAGTAAGTGGAAGTGAAAGTACTGAGAGCTGACCCCCACATTTCCACATTTATGTTTTTCTCCATTTCCACATGTTTTTATACTTCATAATTAACCCAAAACTCAAACCCAAATAAAGCAAATGTCTCATCAAAACCACTAAATAAACATTTTGGTGCATCTTGCTTTGAGTGACAAACCCTTTACTTTCTGGAAATGTCACGTTTGAGTTTGTGTATAGTCCAGATAACGATTATTTTATTACTAATTGAGTTTATTATCTAAATAATTGATTTGATTCATTGCTACGTTAAAGTCTCTTTCATTACATCAGTTTAGTGTTGACTTTGTGGAATCCACGTTTTCAGTGCGTCACTCTGCGACTGAAGGACAAGAGTTAAACCCAGGATGTATTTGCATGAACTCTGCCTTTTACCAATATTTATTTAGACCCAGGCACAGAGATTACCTCTGCTTCAAACTCACAACATTAACAGATTGTTTTAATGTTTTTAATTTAAATGAGTTTAGTCCAGCATATGTACAGGCCAGAATAGTTTAACAGTATAATTTCTAACCTTATAAAATGTTAATCTTTTCCCCAGTGTACTCACACTAGAGTTGTCAAAAGTATTGAAAACCTGATACTAAAACTAGTATCGCAACTAGATACTCATTTGACCAGGTAGAGAAAAAATCCCATTCACAGGACACAAATGAATCTTTCCTAAATGTCTCTAGAATGATGTTGAGCTGTATCAAAACAAGTAGAAGAGCACATAGACTAGTATACACACAAGGACACTATGAACCTACTGGACCACTGAAGGATTACTAAACTATAAGGCCACGAAATCAGTACAGAGTATATTCCCTAATATCAAAATGGTGGTGTGACAATACTACAGTTTCAAACTAACTCTTACAGTGCACATTAGAGGAAGGCCAAATTTAAAAGAGCAAGTCTAAAAGTAAAACTATGATAATCAGTAGAACAAACAAGGTGAGGTGATGTGATGATACATTTTAATGTTTAGTGGAAATCATTCTCATAAGACCCACTACGTCTTTAAAGATTATTCCTGGTTATTGATCCATGACCAAGAAACTGAAACGGTTCATTTTGTTTTGTTCATATTGTCCAATAGATCAGCATTTTGATCTTAATCAAATCAAACTTTTCATGAAGTACAGTTAGTACAGATAAAAGCAGCTTCCATTCAAATTTACTGCAATAAAACCAAATATAACTTGTTTTTGCTCTCAAATGGCCACAAATATTTTAGTTTAGTTCCTATGATTATATTGTGACTTGTATCATAACTTATCAACTAACCAAATAATCTTGAAAATTTTGTTCTGTACAGCACATCTTGTCAAATAAGACTCTTTAATAATTTAATACGATACATTGCTGCAGAAAAATAAACAATACTGAGAAACTAATTTATGTAAGTGAGACAATAATGACAAATAAATAGTATTAAATAATTTGGCTTGCATCTGTAATAAGTTATATGTATTCAACCCTATACAGCTCAAATTTTATCATATTAACAAAATAAACAAAAATGTCCCACTAGATCAAAGAAAATGTACTGATAATAAATGACTCCAAAAAAGTATTGTTCAATCTACCACGTATTGAACAATAAGTGGATATAGTAATTAAATTATAGTGACAGGCACAAATATTGGTATAGAACTAGTATTGATTTTAATTATACTTTAATTTTACCAGGTGGAACTAATTCATTTACTACACGTAATAAACCACGTGGAAATTACTTTATAATCTGGTCATTTTATTGTATCCATAAAATATTCTCATTGTTATTCCTTTACGATGTAATAATTAACTTGTAGCCCGTGTTAATTTGTATCGTAAAGTGTTTTCCATTCATTTCAATGGAGGAACTAGCGGATCCAGGGAGAGCTTATACACGCCTTGGATCATCTTAAACATCTCCCAGAGTGATTGACATGTCGTGTTATTTAATACTTGGACTATAATCCTCTTGGCAGGCTTGTTTTGTCCCTTACCATTTTAATATCCTGCGTACAGTGCTGCATATGCGAATCAGGAGCAGGCCTAGCACACTCAACAAACACGCGCGTAAAATCGTGCAATATTTGGCACATTTTACGCACAAAACCTGATTCTCTTAACCCGAAACGACCCCTTAATAAGCAGTGATCTCAAATCTGCAGGTTGCATGAGGCTAAAGGTTGCTACTATTTCAGGAAAACGCTAACTAGCTCGGCTTTAACTCGTCTTGGTGCAGAGTGCGTCATTGCACACGAGTAAGTGACTGGACGACGCCATTTTGATATCGTGGATGAGAAAACTGGGATGTATTGCACAATCTTCCGCTCCTGTTGCTTTAGAAACACAATCAAAAGCGTATAAACTGGGGATTAACAACTGAAACGTGCGTAAAAATGAATGGGCATGTTGCGTACTCACCGTTTTCGCACAACAAAGACATAAACCCAACACTAGTCGTCCAAGAACCGCAGTGAACGATGTCGCTGGCTGGATGCTGGCCTCGTATCGATTACAGCAAAGGGTCTTGTTAAAAGAAGGTATTGTGGCGATGTAAAGATGCACAGTTTAACACCTTTAGCGTCAAAACGGTGCCAAAGTGGAGCAAAGTGGGTTGGAGACTGAGGAGATTTGCCCCAAGAGCCAGAGACCTGTTATGAAAGCAAGATAAACAAATATGTCATCGATTTGGGATTGCAACGTGACATAGTTTCAAGTTAACAACGTGACGAGTGGTTACGGGTCGAAAATGGAAGATGAAATGAAGAGGAATATCACCAAAATGTAATTAAATACAGCGATGTGAGATTGACAGCTGGCTCAGGTTACGAGAAGCGTGGCTGCCAAACACGTTACATCAGAAATTACGTCGCAAATGTGGGAAATAAAGGCAAAACAAGATAATCAAATCGTCTTTAACTTAAACTACAAACGTAAATAGAATCACAGACTACATTTTAGTTGTTACTTGGTAGATTAAATTGTATACTGGGGCAAATGACGAAGCTAAATCCAGTTTCGTAGCTGCCAAGTGTAACGTTAGGCCAGAAGCTACTCCGAGCCAGCTGTGACGATAGATTAAATAGCTCGGCTATAAACGAGCATCTAGCTTCATTTTTGTGGTGAAATTAAGTAGTTAAAGGTTTAAACGGTTGTATAACTGTGTAAAATGTGTCGGTTGAGTGATTTGGGGCCTTACCTCTCGAATGTTCTGTGAAAAACGGAGAAGCACAAGTCGTTTTGGCAAAGAGCGTCAAGCGACTGTCCGTGCGCTCCGTCTCCCCATCCGGTGGAAACGAGAAAGAAAGACGGAATAAAGCTCACAAATATCAACTGTTTCAATGCAAATTTAGCATTTTCAGCCTTTTAAAATATTCAAATCTACTTTCTAGTTAAAATATCATATAAGTTTAGGAAAATACCAACGTAAATAGCAACTAAATAAAAAGTTAAGCCTTGTTTACTTCTTATCGCGACTCATCTTTATCAAGATTATGCTATTTTGGCTTCCTTTACTCAATTACAAATATGTTTAAACGTAGTATTCGCGTACTTTTGATGTATTAATCTTTGTATGTGTCATTTAGTTGCAATTTTACTTTTTTTTTTTCGGGTTAAATTTAAGATTTTGTGCCTTTGTTTACTATTTTATTCAATGTTACTTTTATTTTGAAAGGTCACACCCAGCAATAGTTCCGGTATCGTTCTTGTTTCTGATTGGCTGCCTCGCCTCCTCTACTTCCTCCTTGCAGGTCTAGCAAAATATTGAAAATGGTGAGTATAAAATTACGAAAAATGCAATAATTAAAAAGTTTTAGGACTCGAGGAGATAGTAAACAGTCTAGCGATGTATTTTAGACGTTTATTAATGTCCTGTGCGTGGTTTTAGCATGAGATGAAGGCGTATTTTCTGGGCGAATCTCTACTCCGTGTTGCAGCAATGATCACATGACAGCTGAACCATTTACCTGAAATTATATTATAAAACAAGCTCTTCAAGGCGATCAAAGCTATCTTTTTATTCTACACATTTGCTGTTATCTTTCTAATATTGTTGAGTACAAATTAGTGCACGTAGTTTAATTGACAGAGCTATACTTTGACTTGTGGCCACCACCTTAGCTCGTTGTGCTAACCAGCTAAGAGCAACTTCTCCTCAACAGTTATTTTTTTTAAATAAGCCATTTATTTATAGGTATTTCCAGCTATTACATGTTAATAAACCAATGAACGTGCTTGTTGTGCCCACACTATACAATCTGGGATGCTTATAGACTAAATGAATAAGTATAAGAGCATTTATAACTGTATTTCATTCATTCTGGATGCTATTACAGTTCAGCTAGAGTTTGCTCTCGATGTTTAGGATATGGATTCAATATTAGTTTAGATTTTTTGCATTTAAGTTATTGGACATATAACTACAAACCCTGTAGTCTTATTTTACTTAATTCTGAGGTTACTGATGTCTTCTCTTCAATTGTGTGTTCACCAGATTTACACAAAACGTTAAAAGACATTGAAGTTACTATGAGTACTGACAAGTATCTAAAAAAAATAAAATTAAATAAAATTCAAAGTTATAGAACATTGAGTTGTAATATATTTCTAAATGTACACTTTACTTTGAATATTGTCTACAACTACAAGGTTAGGCCTGGATGGTTCAGAGTTGAAGTTTTATCCCATTTTCAGTTTTTATATTTCACATGTTTTGTTTCTTTTTTGCTTTGTTGGGTTATTTTTCATTTAAGCTACGATTTAATTCTGTTATTGTCGTGAATGTTCACTTTTCAGTTTGCTTGCTCACTCAATCATGTTTTTATTTATGCTTTTTTCAGTCACTAACCGCCCACATTAATGTTTGATTCAGCCACACCATGTTTCTGATTTGTTTTTAATTATGATTATTTTTATTAACACATGCACTTTTTAATTTCAGTTTCTCTCTTTATCACTCTTTTTGTTGTTATATTTTGCTCATGTCACGCTCCTCTCCCTCTCTCACTCCTGTCTGCGCTGGTCCAGGCAGGGCACAGGGTAAGTCACGTCACTGTGGGGAACTGTGTGCTGCTTTAAAACACTAAATAAATACTCACAATGATCTCTGTATAATATTAATGCTTTGGATGTTCTCAACTTTTTACCTAAATCTCCTTTTACTAACTCACCTACGCTACAAATATTAACTCTCACCTGTTTATGGTTTGCTGTGGTTTCAGGTTTTACAAATGTTCTTATCCATGGGTTTCAGAATTATGAAAAACTAGGACTATGGCATTAGTAATAAAAGATGTAACACGATTCACTAGCATTTGTATGATCAAAATGTTGAATCAAAATGTCTCAGAAAACTGAGACCCATGAATAGGTTGGTGATGTATTGTCTAGAAGAATTTATATGAAGAGATGCAGAATGAGAATATTAAGTATAATGGCCATTAAACCACATAATTGTCTCAAAAACAAAAAAGTAATGTTGTGTTAATAAAAAAATCAAATCATAACATTTTATTACATTTCCAGTGGACTTCCAAAATACAACTATCTGTTTTTTGTTATCCGTCAGTCTAATCTAAAAAAATATAGAAATATTCATGTCAGTGTGGCCCACTCCTCCACACAGGTGATGTAACTGTAGCACAGACGGAGGTGCATTCTTCTGTTGCATAGAGTTGTAAGTGTCTGAATTACAGCATATCAGTTTTTCATGACTTTTTATATTATTAAAATATCTAAACATGTTGAGTTTAGACACTTACACACTTCTGAAGCTGAGTTCTGATACTGTCATAAAAGAGAAAGCAGAATGCAGTTATAAGAAGATTTTTTAAAAAGGTTGTAGCTTAATCTTCTGTCTAATACAGTGCATTGGTTTACGCAGCATCTTGAAATTTAGTGATTAGGAAATAAAAGAAGTAGCAACTTGACAGTACATTAATAATGGTGAAACAGTTTCATAATGCAAATTAACCACAATATGTCAGTCTCAGAACTCTGTGCAAACTTTTCTCACTGGTTTCAATCTTAAGAATTTTATTTTTGATAAATTAATATTAGATGTATATTTCAAATGAAAAGTACAGCAATAATAACATGTTCTGTGAAGGAGGGTCCACTGCCTGGTTATTTCCATGGACATATTATTATTATTTATTCAGCCACAGTAATGGCATTTCCACGGAGACCAGCTTACTTTATTTACAACATTCATTAAATAAACAGTTCTAGACCAAATTTGTAATATTTTTCTCTCTTTTGGGAGTGTTATTTATATTTTACTCAGACCAGTGTAGTGAATGGTTATTTTGAGGCTTTTACATTGAAAATCTCTCTCCCCCTCTCCTGTATGTCCATGTTCACTGTGTCCCGTGTGCCTCAGTTGGTGCTGGTGCTTGGAGACCTCCACATCCCTCACAGATGTAACTCGCTCCCAGCAAAGTTCAAAAAGCTCCTGGTACCTGGAAAGATCCAACACATCCTGTGCACGGGGAATCTATGCACTAAAGAAAGCTACGACTACCTCAAGACTCTGGCCGGAGACGTGCACATCGTCAGGGGCGACTTCGATGAGGTAACTCACATCAGAAATACAGCGTCTCATTTTAAAAAAAAGGCCAACATTAGGCTATTTTCAGAACTTTGTTATAATGTTGTTCCCTCATCAGAAACAGACCTGGAGTGGTATTTTGTTTCATTTACACATGTTTAACACACCCTGTATATTTAGGCTGAGTTATTTTCTCAAACAGAAAACACTCATGGCAAACACATGTCATGTGGTATGTGGTAAGACAAGAAGTGCTCCACCAAGTTTTAAACTCCATACACCTTGACTAGAATCGTTTGGATTATTTCAGCCAACTGTTAACTTGAAAACTATCAAGTTAACACAAGGTAGAACAGAACATTCTAAACTTTGGACCCACTTCTCATTTCTATCCTTTTTTTGTCTAGAATCTGAACTATCCAGAGCAGAAAGTCGTAACTGTGGGCCAGTTCAAGATCGGTCTCATTCATGGACATCAGGTAATGAATAAAATCATGATTTGGACTTAATTTCCTAATTGTTTAGTCCTGATTTAGTCCTGGTTCGATCTGGGACTTGAACTAGCCAAAGCAGAACTAAAGCATGACTAAAGCAGGACTAAAGGAGTATTGAACCAGGCCCCTAACCCCCTCTGTATAATCCCAGGTGATCCCGTGGGGAGACATGGCGTCTCTGGCTCTGCTCCAGAGACAGTTGGACGTGGACATCCTGATTTCTGGACACACGCACAAGTTTGAGGCCTTTGAAAATGAAAACAAGTTCTACATAAACCCGGGCTCTGCCACAGGGGCCTACAGCGCCCTCGAGAGGTAACACACTGAATGAATGTTGGTTTTATTTTAACATTAACATTCATTTTCATTATCTAATTGGTTCTGTGGACAACAGCTCTGCTCATGTGATGTTTTATCATCACTACCTCTGCTCCTGTAATATGTGTCAGGTTTTCAGAGTCACACTGACAATATTTAAAAATAGACACACAGTAGACAGCGAGTTGTGGGTGGATGTCACTGACATGTTTATTTACAAATGTTATTTTACTGGGGGACACTTCTGTGTTTATAAAAATCATGTGTTTTGTCACAAAGGTAGTGCAGGATTTTGAAAAATAATGAATATTAAAACAATGTCACAAACTGAAGTAATCTAAATATAAAAAGTATTTAAGTATTCTCTATATTCCAAACATTTTAACCATGTCAGTAACATCCAACTGTAATTAACTTTCTGCAGCATGATACTTTATTTATTTATAGCATGACTCTGTATAGAGACCACAGAGAACACTGGTGGTGATCAGAATCACCCAGCCACTGTGTCCTGTCCCTACAGGATTCAAAATATACATTTGATTAACAGCATAGCAGTTACCCTACATACCCTGCAGAGCTCAGATCAGGTTTGACCCTGATCCAGCTTCGTTTAAGTGCAAAAAACTCTTTAAATATTCACACAGTTGTGTCTCTTTGACAGTGACATACATCTGACTTAAAACCCTTTTGTCCTGATTAAAACGTTCTTGTGTTTCTGCAATTATCTCCTCTCCTCTTTCACTAATCGCTCTCTGTCCCTTGTTCTTTCTCTCCTTCTCCTCCCTCTCTTTTTCCCTCTACCCGTCCTAACTTCTCCTCACCACCTCTCTCCCTCTTCCCTCTCTTTCTCTCTCTCTCTTTTCACAGTAACATCATCCCATCATTCGTGTTGATGGACATTCAGGCCTCCACGGTGGTCACGTACGTGTATCAGCTGATCGGAGACGACGTCAAAGTGGAACGCATCGAGTACAAAAAGTCATAAAACTATTTCAACAAAAAACGTAAAAAGGCGGATGAGGTGTCGTTTCATTCCTGTAACAGCAGAGGGCAGCACGGCCTCAGAATCTACTGTACACAACTGCTTTTACATGGACACAAGTTTTAACCACAAACAGGTTCAGAACAGGCCTAAAACTGGACTAAATCTGGTCTAAAACTGGACTAAACCAGGATGAAAGCCAGACAGAAACAGGACTAAACTGGGCTAAACAAACAACATTTAAAACAGAACTAAATAAAGCTAAACCCAAACACAGGTGAATTCCCTTGGTGCAAAGAATGGTCAAAACATTTAGTAGCTCTCAAAACTATTTGTGTCTCTGTGTATCTGACCCAAACTGCACTCACAAGACTACACCTGCAGGGGGAGCTCATACAAAGACTACTATTTATGTAGAAAAAAGTACAAGGAAACTGTATTTTAATTTCACTCACAGATTCTCACTCCATATTTGTTCCTTTCTGCAGTTCTCTCATATTCTTACAATCTGAATTTCAAAACATGAGATGACACTAATAAAATTTTTGGTCAAGCAAAAGAACATTGACTGATCATTTACTAAAAAGACCTAAAAAGAATCTACAGCCCCAGTGTCCCTCCTTTTTACTCACAAATAAGATAGATCGATTGTGAGCCCTATCTCGTCACTGCAAACATAGTTACTGGAAATTCTGGAAGCTGCTGTTTTTATTTAGGATTTACAAATATTAGTTTACCTTTTCCTTGTTGGACAATAAAAAAAATCACAGAGGATAATTTCAAATGTGAGTAATGACAGTGTTCTGATTCTACAAATATTCAAATAAACAGTAATTTTTTGGGTTAAATTTTCAAAAGCCGAGATGCGTCCATGTAAAAGCAGCTCAGATAAACACAGTGTCCCATATAAATCTTGTATTCTATGTTTCTCATGTGTCCCTCTGTAACTGCAGACTGCATCACTTCACTTTATGTGTTTAAAATACTTATTTGGTGCCATTTCCTGTTTGTCGCTTGTCTTATAATAAAATCCCTATTACATTTAGATTATATTGTATCTTTTCACAATAAATTACTAATGTCACTGCAGGGAGTCTGGTGTTTTCTGAAATCACATTTTATAATATCTTAGTAACTTTATATATGTAGTACATACATACATACATACAGACATACAGACATTACAGACATTGCATACATGCATCCATACATGCATATAAAGTGCTTGAGAACATGTCTTCACTACAGGAATGTTGTAGTTTACTGTAAAAGCTGTTAGAGCAAAATGTAATAAAAACATTAAACATAAATATTCTGAAAAACGTGTATTCTTGCTGTGAGTGGAGTCGCCCCTCCACAGAACTGACCTGTAACTCAGCCTGGTGTTTCTATGGCGATGGATACATTTAATACTGAAGAATAACAGGCAAGAAAGCGATCACCATTCAAAAAGCAGGAGACACTTCCTCCTCCACAAAGGTTTAGTAAAAACTTTAAACTGAACTTTGCTATTTTGACTGAATCAGTTTGTTATGTAACCACACACTTTATACTGTCCATGTAACAGATCAAAACAAAAAACTACACATTTCAGACTGAAATGATGTTGAATTATTAATTTAAAATGATGTTCTATTTGGATGTTTTCCCTCCTTCATGCAGGCGGTTCATGACAGCAGGTCATTTAGAATGACTTTGGATGAGAGTCCAAATATGATAACGTTAAAAAACACAGTATTTTTGTGTTTCCACTAGAGATGCGCGGTTGGGCTACTTTTTCATCCGCAACCGCATCGCAAAACTCATCATCCTCCCGCTATCCATTTGCAACCACAGTTTTTAACCAGTTTTCAAAACCGCACCCACCTGCCATCCGCTCGGTCCCTTCCCATTTGCTCCGAGATAAGAGTTTTTTATTTGAATAATGAAACTGCCACCCGCCCAAATTTAATTAAAATATTATTTTTCGTCATGTCATCCGCCCAACCCGCCGTGGCTGTAACGGCCATCTGCGCATCTCTGGTTTCCACATAAAATAAGTGAATAAGTTAGAAAAAGTAGAATGCATTTATTGCATTATTTACATTACATTTATCATGTTTTGAAACAGGCCAAGCTTATATGTGGGTACAATCTAGAACTGTAACAAGTTTATCAATTAGTTACAAATAATCAATTTCTGAGATCATTGTCAATAATAAATAATTGTAAACTGGAAACGATTATTTAGAAATGGTCTCGTTTCGGATAATCGTCTAAGATGATTCGGCTGCTGTCTGGAAAGCATTTGTAATCTGTAAATACTGTACACCTCATCAGGATGAACTCCTTCAGCTTCATGTGGGTCAGATTGACTTTTTTGTTTTAAACAACTCAATTAAGGGAAAGAATAATATATGATGATTACCAAAGTAATCATTAGTAGCAGCCCTGTTACAAACACCTGACTTGTGCTTGTAAAAACTATAATAACACTGATGTAGTAGTTTTTATGTATCTGAGTCTGAGTCCCAGTCTGTGAGGGAGAGAGAGGACAGACCATCACTCAAACACTCCTTTAAACTCTGCTCCTCCTCCTCCTCCTCCTCTCTACCTCCTCTCCTCTCTTTCTCTTTCTCCTCCTCTTCCTCATCGTCATCCAGCCAGTCCTTCAGCCAGTCTTCATCTTCATCATCTTCATCAGGACTCAGGACTCGCGTGGACACACCTGGAACAAGAGGTGGGTGAGTGTCTTGCTCAAGGACAGAAGGACACGGAGTTGGAAGTGAGCAGAAAAGTGATGTGTTGTAGCTCAATATAGTTCAAGTTGTTTAGTACGTGCAGTTTTTTGATTCTGATTTGACTTTTTATTCTTTATTTAAATGTAAAAATGTCAAAACTTACTTGGACTTTTCTTCTTGAGTTTTGGTGGAGTGGTCTGTTTCTTTCTCTGTTTTGACACTGGAGTTTTAAGTCTGGAAAACAAAATAGAATATTACTTTAGAAATATAATTATTTTCCAAAATTGCTGTTTTGAAGATGAACTAAATATTCTAATTTTGGTATATTATTAGAACATTAGTATCATAATTACGCAAAACTGACTCTTGTGTTCTAAATCTGTTACCTCCTCAAAAACAGAGGCAGTAAAACTTTTTACCTTTAGTGCAGTAGAGATTGGCAATTCCAGTTGAAATGATCCAAATGATTCTAGTGAAGGTGTATAAGGAGTTTAAAACACTAAACTAAACTAAACTAAAGTTGCTGTATTACCACATGACATCACAAGGTGGAACAGAGTGTTTTCTGTTTGAGAGATGAACTCAGCCTTAATATGCATATGCAATATGTTAAACGTGTGTGAATGAAACAAAACACTACTCCAGGTATTTGAGCACAAATATGCGATCAGAGTAAAGAACCAGGACGACACAATGGCTCGACATTTTTGTGAAAATCATAATATCAATAACACTTCAAAACTGAACCAAAGAGAAACTTTCAGGATTCATAAATGAAGAGCATGTGAACATCCTGATCTAAATGAGTACTTTGATTTGTCTTGTTTTTTTAAAAAATAAATGTTACGTGTATTTTTTCCATTATTTGTATTGTTAACATATTTCAGTGGTAATATTATATTTTTATCTATGTCATGTTGCGTGTTTTGCCTTGTCTGCCTCTAATTAACTTCTGTCCTGACCATTGTTTGATGTGTATTTTAAAGGCCATGCTTCACATGCTTTCTATTATATCAGTCATGGTTGCAACACGTTGGCTTTGGCCATTTAAATAAAACTTTTAGCTCTACTTTTTCTCGTGCCATTTCTACTTTATTGGAGAGCCTGGATTTTGTTGTGTCTAAAACAACTCCAGGTCTGTTTGTGATGAGGAAACTACATTATACTACATTAGGGCATTGTTGTGTCCTTAGGCAAGGCATTTCACCCACATTGCCCAGTATGAAAGTGAGTGAGTGCCTTGGCAGCCTTGCTTCTGTCAGTCTGCCCTGGGCAGCTGTGGCTACAATAGTAGTTTACCACCACTGAGTGAAGTGAATAAATAATGCTGTGTAAAGTGTCTTTGTGGCATATGTCTGTGAAAGAGCTATATAAATAAAAAAAACTGACTTACAGCATAGATCAGAAAATAGTGTAATAGGACCCTTTAAGAACAAGACATTTCTGAATTATTGTGTTTAGTTTTGGGTTTTTTGTACAATACTTAAACTTAAACCGAGGCATTTACAAACACATTTTAACAGTCTAAAAGCTGATTTGATTATTATTATCAAGACAATCCAAAAATATATAGAGATAAAATATTGTCAATTTCACCCACTCTGACTGCAGACTCACCTGGGCTGTCTCTTGTTGATCTTTGGCAGAATGGTTTTCCCATAATTCTTTGCTGCAATGCTGGTTTTGCCCTTCTGTTTTGATGATGTTGGTTTGTTTTGTGTGTTTGGATTTGACTCGACTTCAGTTTGTGGAGGTTCAACCATCTGAGGCAACGTCACCGGGGCCAAACTATAAACTTTTTCTACTGTGTGACCTGGAACAACAAGGAGAGAGGGTCAGAGGAGCAGAGGGTCAGAGGAGCAGAGGGTCAGAGGAACAGAGGGTCAGAGGAACAGAGGGTCAGAGGAGCAGGGGGTCAGAGGAACAGTCAGAGGAACAGAGGGTCAGAGGAACAGACAGTCAGAGGAACAGAGGGTCAGAGGAGCAGAGGTCAGAGGAACAGAGGGTCAGAGGAACAGAGGGTCAGAGGAACAGAGGGTCAGAGGAACAGAGGGTCAGAGGAACAGAGGGTCAGAGAACAGAGGTCAGAGGAGCAGAGGTCAGAGACAGAGGGTCAGAGGAACAGAGGGTCAGAGGAACAGAGGAGCAGAGGGTCAGAGGAACAGACAGTCAGAGGAGCAGACGGTCAGAGGAACAGACAGTCAGAGGAGCAGAGGGTCAGAGGAGCAGAGGGTCAGAGGAACAGACAGAGAGAGCAGAGGTCAGAGGAACAGAGGTCAGAGCAGAGGGTCAGAGGAACAGAGTCAGAGGAGCAGAGGGCAGAGGGTCAGAGGGTCAGAGGAACAGAGGTCAGAGGAACAGAGGGTCAGAGGAACAGAGGAGCAGAGGGTCAGAGGAACAGAGGGTCAGAGGAACAGAGGGTCAGAGGAGCAGAGGGTCAGAGGAGCAGAGGTCAGAGGAAAGAGGTCAGAGGAGCAGAGGGTCAGAGGAACAGAGGGTCAGAGGAGCAGACAGAGGTCAGAGGAACAGAGGGTCAGAGGAGAGGGTCAGAGGGTCAGAGGCAGAGGTCAGAGGAACAGAGGGTCAGAGGAGCAGAGGAGCAGAGGGTCAGAGGAACAGAGGAACAGAGGGTCAGAGGAGCAGAGGGTCAGAGGAACAGAGGGTCAGAGGAACAGAGGGTCAGAGAACAGAGGTCAGAGGAACAGAGGACAGACAGTCAGAGGAGCAGAGGGTCAGAGGAACAGAGGGTCAGAGGAACAGAGGGTCAGAGGAACAGAGGAGCAGAGGGTCAGAGGAACAGACAGTCAGAGGAGCAGACGGTCAGAGGAACAGACAGTCAGAGGAGCAGAGGGTCAGAGGAGCAGAGGGTCAGAGGAACAGAGGGTCAGAGGAACAGAGGGTCAGAGGAACAGAGGGTCAGAGGAACAGAGGAGCAGAGGGTCAGAGGAACAGAGGGTCAGAGGAGCAGAGGGTCAGAGGAGCAGAGGGTCAGAGGAGCAGACGGTCAGAGGAACAGAGGGTCAGAGGAGCAGAGGGTCAGAGGAAAGAGGGTCAGAGGAGCAGAGGGCAGAGGAACAGAGGTCAGAGGAACGGTCAGAGGAACAGAGGGTCAGAGGAGCAGAGGGTCAGAGGAACAGAGGGTCAGAGGAGCAGAGGGTCAGAGGAACAGAGGAGCAGAGGGTCAGAGGAACAGAGGGTCAGAGGAACAGAGGGTCAGAGGAGCAGAGGGTCAGAGGAGCAGAGGGTCAGAGGAACAGAGGGTCAGAGGAACAGAGGGTCAGAGGAGCAGAGGAACAGAGGGTCAGAGGAGAGGGTCAGAGGAGAGGTCAGAGGAAAGAGGGTCAGAGGAACAGAGGGTCAGAGAACAGAGGGTCAGAGGAACAGAGGAGCAGAGGGTCAGAGGAACAGACAGTCAGAGGAGCAGACGGTCAGAGGAACAGACAGTCAGAGGAGCAGAGGGTCAGAGGAACAGAGGGTCAGAGGAACAGAGGGTCAGAGGAACAGAGGGTCAGAGGAACAGAGGGTCAGAGGAACAGAGGAGCAGAGGGTCAGAGGAACAGAGGGTCAGAGGAGCAGAGGGTCAGAGGAGCAGAGGGTCAGAGGAGCAGACGGTCAGAGGAACAGAGGGTCAGAGGAGCAGAGGGTCAGAGGAACAGAGGGTCAGAGGAGCAGAGGGTCAGAGGAACAGAGGGTCAGAGGAGCAGACGGTCAGAGGAACAGACGGTCAGAGGAGCAGAGGGTCAGAGGAACAGAGGGTCAGAGGAACAGAGGGTCAGAGGAGCAGAGGGTCAGAGGAACAGAGGGTCAGAGGAACAGAGGGTCAGAGGAACAGAGGAGCAGAGGGTCAGAGGAACAGAGGGTCAGAGGAACAGTGGGTCAGAGGAGCAGAGGGTCAGAGGAGCAGAGGGTCAGAGGAACAGAGGGTCAGAGGAACAGAGGGTCAGAGGAGCAGAGGAACAGAGGGTCAGAGGAGCAGAGGGTCAGAGGAACAGAGGGTCAGAGGAACAGAGGGTCAGAGGAACAGAGGGTCAGAGGAGCAGAGGGTCAGAGGAGCAGAGGGTCAGAGGAACAGAGGTTCAGAGGAAAAGGAGGAGAATGTCAGAGGAACAGAGAGGAGCAGAAGAGCAAAGGATGCAGAGGAGAGGGTCAGAGTACTAGTAGTAGTAGTAGTAGTAGTAATAGTAACAGTAGGGCCTGGTAAAGCAGAAGTAAACAACAAGGCCAAAAATTCAAGTTAATGTATCTGATATAAAAATGTATTGAACAGATACATATGTACTCTAGTTTATGAAACTGTTGACCTTTTTTCTGTACCATTTTTGGTTCTAAAGTTCCATATGTTTTAAACAGACCATGTATGAAACATGGAACAAAAATTATTTCCCAAATTTCAAAGACCTGCAAATCATGTAAATAAATGGATGTATTTCATCATATCTTGTGTTATTCCATCTTTGAACTGTTGATGAAGGTACAGGATTTAAAAAAAAAAAGTATTTAAAATGATAAAAAATCTGCTTGAAAGGACTGACATATTTTATAGAAATAGTTTCCTTTCATTTTGAAGTAATATTAAAGTATTTGGAAGAAAAACGCTGACAAATGATGTAAAATCCTGCACCTTCTACTTGTTTGCACAATTTTCCCTCTGTTACTTTTCCCTCCGTTACCATGATCTTTCTTAATAAAAAATCTCATTAGTCAAAAAGTAAGAGGTTTTTCAACCTAATCTTGTACCATATGGTAGAAAACTATATGAAGCAAATATTCAAACCAGTTTGTTAAGGATATGGAAGTGAGAACCAAGAGTTATCACTGTTTGGATTTATTGCCCAAAAAGTGCTGCATATTTCATTCCCTCTGTTACTGACATGAGTTTTTAAATTTTTTGTCAACAACTTGAAAGAATATCACAGGTTTAACTTGACCCTGTTGGAGTGTAACTCTTTCCTACATTCTGATACTTTACTTATTTCAATAGTCCCTCTAGTTTCTGAATAAGAGACATTTGAATGTCAAAAATCTGCCCCTGTTTCCCTCCGTTACCACTTGACCGGACCCAGTAGTAGTAGTAGTAGTAGTAGTAGTAGTAGTAGTAGTAGTAGTAGTAGTAGTAGTAGTAGTAGTCGTCATCGTCGTAGTAGTAGTACCTGCTCGTATACATCGGTGTAGTATGTTCATATAGTGAGTAGTGATGATGTCTCTGACTCGGTCTCCGCTGTAGGTCGCGGCTACACTGTACAGATACTCTCTCTGAGCTGGAGTCAGACCTGAGTGCTGAGGAGCAGAGGGACAGTGAAGGAGCCTCTCACCTGTGTCACTGTCTGTATCATGTGTTTTATGTTTTTCTTTTACCTTGAGAAATGGAGCCATGGCCATGCCCCGGGGAATGTGCACCGTGGCTCTGTGGTCACCGGGCGTCGAGAACCGTCTCTGCTCACAAAACTCCACATCTTTGACTGACAAAAAACATTACATTTAAATTTTCAGGGCCCAGATTGGCTGACTGACGGGGAGTAAGTGAAGAGTGCTCTGTAAAAGTCTGTGGGGGTCCTGCTTACATAAATCCAGCATTTGTGATTAGACTGACCAACTGACCTTGTATTTTCATTGACCACAGATGACCACCGCTGAAACCTTCTCTACATTAAACCACTAGTGGACAAATGAAGGATCACACCGTCTAGCTGCTGCCTATGTTACTGCTGTCTGACAGTGTGCAGCTTTGGCCTCGTATAAGAACACAGCAGGTTTTACATGAAAATAAACACAGGTGACTTATGTACGGAAGCCGAGAGGGGTCACAACAAACGCAAACGCCGCAACAAATACAAATGCGACAACACAACAAAAAGTCACAACAAACCAAAAAAAGCCACAACGGAAATGACCGCGGGACTCTATTTTAATACAAACGCCGCAACACAAACGCAAATGCCGAAACACAGTAAAAAGCCGCAACACATTAAAAAGCCACAACAGAAGTGACCGCGGGACTCTATTTTCCGATGGACCGATCAAGCGGCAAGTGAAGAAGAAGAACTACAACGTGAAAAGTAAAGGAACGGAGAAGTTGGAAACATAAGTAAAAGTAATTTATTGTTTTATCATTATTCGTTTCACGTTGTAGTTCTTCTTCTTCACTTGCCGCTTGATCGGTCTGTCAGAAAATAGAGTCCCGCGGTCACTTCCATTGTGGCTTTTTAATGTGTTGTGGCGTTTGTATTTGTTGCGGCGTTTGCATTAAAATAGAGTCCCGCGGTCACTTCTGTTGTGGCTTTTTTTTCGTTTGTTGTGGCTTTTTGTTGTGTTGCAGCATTTGTACTTGTTGCGACGTTTGCGTTTGTTGTGACCCCTCTCGGCTTCCGTACTTATGGATACAGTTTTGCAAATAAATAAAAGAACGAACATGGTTATTTTGCTTTATGTCAGATAATGTGTTTCTCAGCATTGGATTTTCCTGTTCTCTTTGAATACATCATCAAAGGTCTGATGATTGAAGGATGGGTCAAAGAGAACACGTTTCCCTACAGGGACATTAACCTTTAACCTTTAGCCTGAATCTGAACCTGACCCATGTTCATGCCTCTAACAGGGCACTTCAGATTCATGTTGGTTTGTCCTCGTGCTGCGTTCAGGTCTCATGTTTCTGCTGTTCTTTCCACTTCTCTCTCTCTCCTTCACTCCACTTTTGCTCCTCTTTAGTTGTACTTAATTTTCTTCAGTCATTAACTTTTCCACTTGTAATCTCTCCCTCCCTCTCTCCTCCTCTCCCCCTCTCTGTTTGTCCTCGTTCTCACTTAACCTCTGACCTTTGTGTTTATTTAAAGAGGAGCAGAGCATGGAGGACATTTCTTAAACATGAGACAAAACTAAAACAAAACAAATACTCTCGTTAAACAGTTTAAAACAATAACACAGATTCAACTTCTTATTTAAATATGAATATTAAAAAGCACAAAACTTTACACTTACCTAATTTGGTCTCAGCCGGCAGAGAAAACCTGCAACAAAAACATTTCACAATGAACATGATGGACAAGTTTACATTATAATTTAGTGTTTTGGTTCAAGACAGTTATCCAATCAGAAAGCAGAATGAGCCTCACATGACTCTCATTTGGGTTGCCAGTTTCAGTGCTTAAATCCTGTGGGTTTAAGGCTAAAACACTTCTCTCTGATCTGAATGGTCTTTACCTAAACCCCAGCACCTGCACCAGTCATGAGTGAGTGCTAGTGCAGCCTCTGCAGCTCAGGGAGGGAATTCTGGAGGTTCTGAGCTTCACATGAGGCCTGAACATAAATGCATAATAATAATAACAGTTTATTTTGGGCAAGTAAAGATTTACATTCATATACAATGGAACATATAACATAAGTGAAATTATAATAGAAATGAGAATAACAACAAAAATTGACTATTATTATTATTATTTTGCCCAAAAAGGAGTGGGAAGAAGAAAATTGATTTAATCCCACCCCTACTCTTCATAATCTAACACAATGAGCTTCTTTTGCATTTTTCAGACATTTTGAGTTAAACTATATGAACTATTTACAAGTGCAAACTGAGAATGAGACAAACTTGGATGCGTCTCTATCTGCAGGTTAAAGCTCTGGCCAAAAGTTCTGATGTTCTTTTTTTTTTTTTTTGTTTGTTTTAAAAGTAAGAGGACAGGATACACACAGTTCTTTTAAAAGTCCTATATTACACAAAATTGACTCTTGTGAGCTTTAATCCATTTTAAAATGTTGTTATGTGTTTTGTTTCATTCACACATGTTTCAGTAACTCTTTATATTTAGTCTACATCTCTAAACCCCATAATGCAATGTTCCACTTTATTATGTCATAAACTGGTAGTTTTAAAGTTAACAGTTCCTTTTACATTTGGTTCAGTGAAGATTGACAATTCTAAAACTGACATGATTCAAATGATTCCTGGGAAGGTGTGTGGAGTTAAAAAACACCGTGGAGCACTTCCTGTACTCTGTTATCTGTTTGAGAAAAAAACTCAATCTAATAAAAGTGCAGGATTGTGTGTTAAACGAAACACAACTCCAGGTGAGTTTGTGACGAGGAAACAACGCTACATTACAGCAGGGAGTTTTCAGAGGTTTATATTTAGTGCGGCACTGAGATAAAGCTCGGTTTTTCCCTCATGTTAGGACACATTTTAACAGAACTCCAAAACAAAAAAGAACTTCACATGAAATAAAACAAAAACACTCAAGAGTAAAAAGTCAGTTCGAGAAAGTTGAAAAGTAAAACCATCAAATGCTTTTCTGTGTGGAGATATTATTACTTTGTCTGGAATGTTTCACAGTATGGCATTAAACATTTCTATCATCATGGAGACCAAACCAAACCAAGTTACAGGTCAGGTCTGTGGAGAGGCGACCCCACTCACAGTCAGCATGCCTGTTTTTCTAGGTATTTTTAAGCTATAAAACAATAAAATGTAATAAATGTAAAGTAGAATTGTTTAATGTCATGCTGTGGAACATTCAAAGCAGAGGAATGACGTATCCATAGAAACTAAGACTACAGTTGTAGTTGTAAATTGTAAGTAACAGGTAAACATTGTCGGCCTTTGCAGTTTTCTCACCTGTGCTTCTGCAGCTGCTTCTCTGTGCGGCTCTGAGCAAAAGTCACCTGTTTCTTCATCGTTTACATTCACACAGATCATAAATATAAAGATCCAATGCTAATATTCTATAAATATAACAGTGCTGACATGCTCTGTGTGTGTATGTGTGTGTGGCTTTCTGTTTGTGGCTCTGTGTGTGGCTCTGTGTGTGTGTGGCTCCGTGTGTGGCTCCGTTTGTGGCGCTGTGTGTGGCTCTTTGTGTGTGTGGCTATGTGTGTGGCTCTCTCTGTTTGTGGCTCTGTGTGTGGCTCTGTGTGTGGCTCTCTCTGTGTGTGGCTCTGTATGTGGCTCTGTGTGTGGCTCTCTCTGTGTGTGGCTCTGTGTGTGGCTCTGTGTGTGAGTGTGCAGTGTAGTGTGAGTTTCATGTGAGCAGGTTCTGTGCAGCACCTTTAACACAGGTGTAAAGTTAAACCTGCAACACTCTGAGACACACAGAGAGAGAGAGAGAGAGGAGAGGACAGGAGAGAAGGAGAGAAAGAGAGGGACAGAGGGAGAGGAGAGACAGAGGGAGAGAGAGAAAGAGAGGAGAGAGAGGGACAGAAAGAAGAGAGAGAGAGAAGAGAAGGAGGAGAAAGAGAAAGAGAGGAGAGAGGGACAGGAGAGAGACTGTGTGTGCGTGAGAGAGAGAGAGAGAAAGGGAGAGAAAGAGAGAGGGGTGTTGAGAGAGAAAAGGGAGGGAGAGAGAAAGGAGAGAGGGAAATAGAAAGAAGAGAAGACAGAGGGAGAGAGGAGAAGAGAGAGGAGAAGAGAAGAGAGAGACAGAGAAAGAGGGAGAGAGGAGATGAAAGAGGAGAGAAGAGAGACGTGAAAAAGGGAGAGAAAGAGAGGGAGAGAGAAGAGAAGAGAGAGAAAGAGGGAGAGAGAAGAAGAGAGAGAGAGAAAGAGGGAGAGAGAAGAAGAGAGGAGAGAGAGGGAGAGACAAGAAAGGGAGAGAAGAGAGGCAGAGAAAGAAGGGAAGAGGAGAGAGAAGAGGGAGGGAGAATAAGAGGAAGAGAGGAGAGGAGTGTGAGAGAGAGCGAGGGAGGGAGAGAGAGAAGAGAGAGAGCGGGGAAGGGAGAGAAAGAGGAAAGAGACAGACAGACAGGAGAGAGACAGAGAGAAAGATAGAAGAGAGGGAGAGGGAGGGGGAGAGAGAATCGGCTTTCACTGAAGTTGACCAATCACAGCGCTGCAGCTACACACCTGTCCACCAATAAGGCCGAGGTCACATGACATCACAACACTTACTGTACCAACTGTATCAGATGAGAGCTCTCAGGTGGTTTGTGGTTCATATTTCTGTAATTACCAATCCACATGAAAGAAAAACTGGTGCAAAGTTCAGCATCTTCTCTGTCTGTATAAATAAACAAAAAGTGAAATCATGACATCACCAGAGCTTCAGAAAGTGGTGCCATTATTCAACCCCAAAAATATGAATATGACAAGTTTATGGAGCCAAACAAATAATGAGAAGGTTCAACATTTGTGGATGAGAAGTTTGGAAATTTCCTTTAAAAAACACAGAATTTCCCATAGAGTTATATTAGCCCCTCACCTCTATCTGAAATCATCAAATAAAAAAAATAAAAACATGAACTCAACCTCCACCAGAGAACCAACATTCTTATAATTAAAAAGGTGCATTGTGTAACTTTTCCGTCAAATGCTTTTCTCCATGGGGATATTTATTTATTGCTTTGTCTGGAATGTTTCACAGTGTGGCATTAAACCTTTCTACCTTCACGGAGACTAGGGCTGGGTATCATTAAGAAGTTGCCCATACGATACATAACTCGATACGTAGGCCACGATACGATACATACCTCGATACAGTGCATTTTTGATTCAATATGATATATTTCAAATCGATTTGATACAGTTCAATAAAAACAAAGGCTAAATCATGTCTGTGATACTAAGTCTTTGTTAAACCACTTCTTGTGCAAAGTTCATATGAAAAACAAACATTTTATTCATCGAAACAGTGAAAATGTCAAATGTGTCGCATAATAAAAGTTTCCTTCCTCTAAACAAGCACCAAAACTGTAGCTTTAACAAAATAATTTAGTAAAATAAACCAAAAAATACTCTTGGTGATATATCGATACAGCAGCCTACGATATCGATACTGTATCATCACATTAAGCGATACGATGTATCGAAATTTAAATATTTTTGCACACCCCTAATGAAGACCAAACCAGACCAAGTAACAGGTTAGATCTGTGGAGAGGAGACCCCGCTCACAGTCAGAGTGTCTGTTTTTCTAGGTATTTTTGAGCTATAAAACCTGTAATTGAATAAATGTAAACTAAATCTGTTTAATATCACACTGTGGAACATTCCAGACAGAATGAAAAAGTTACATAGTACAGCTTTAATAACCTTGGCTTCACCTCACCTGCAGATTGTTGTTTATATCTCCTTCTGAACACTGTATTTACTCAGGGTTGAACATTACAGAGTTGTTAGCGTGGGTGATGCAATCTGACTCTTCAAACAGTAACCGCTCCCTCTGAATGACACCACTAAAAGCTTCCTTTGATTCTGCTCTGGAATGCTTTTCGATTTCAGTTTCACTTTCGTATTTCTTATTTGGCGGGAATATCTGATCACTGTAATCCAATGCACAGGTTTAAACCAAAACTTTTTTGAAGTAATGGCAGTAGTAGGGTGACTATTTACCCAGGACAGTCCCAGTTTTGAACCCCGTGTCTCCTGTCCCAGCAGATTTATACAATACCAGTGATTTGTCCCAGTTCTATACAAGAAATGTCCCAGGTCTCCCTATTTTTGACCATTTTGATCTAAACCAGGAATAAATTAAGACTAAACCAGGACTAAACGAAGACTAAATTAGGACTACATCAATTCTAAACCAGGACTAAACGAAGACTAAACCAGGACTACATCAGGTCTAAACCAGGTCTAAAACAGAACTACTGTATCACAATTTTTGACTAATCTGATCCCCACCAACAATAAAGAAGAGCATAAATTGTCATTTGTTTTGCCAAAACACAGAAAACCGTGTTTGCAAATGACCATAAAGACAAAAAATGCAGCATCAGAAGAGTCAGATTATGACTGACATGAGAATGCACAATGTTACACGCTCTTTTCACTGTTTTATTTAGACCAAACATCCTAACCCAGGTGTGTCCCAGTTTAGAATTGAGAAAATCTGGTCACCCTAAGCAGTAGCGAAAAGTATAATTCTAGAAATTGTTTATGTCATAATTTCAGACAGAGTGAGATTTTAAAATTTATGATTCACGAATGTTAAAACTTCTCATTATTTGTTTGGGATCGGCTCCATAAACTTGTCACATTAATCTTCTGGGTCAAAGTCCTTTCAACTGACGACAGTCACTTGGAACAATGGCACCGCTTTCTGAAGCTGTTCTGAAGAACCTTCCCTTTTGTTTATCTGTACTGACAGATAAGACATAGACAGGCCCAGTAACTACAGAGATATGTATCATAAACCAGCTCAACAAATCTGCATCTGACAGTTACACGGCAAACTCCACCAGAGAACACTTACCTGTCTGCTGCTCAGTTTATTTAAAGCAAAATACATTTATTTAAAGCAAAATAAATCATAATTATTTCAAAACTTAAAACAATGGGTGGTTTAAATTATACTGTGGTTGTGTCCTTGGGCATGACGCGCTGCTTCAAAGTGTTCAACTTAAAGTTCATATGACATGTTTTAGCGATTCTCTAATTTTGGCTTAATTTGATGGGATAATACATGTAAATATACAATATTTATTGTATAATATTTGTACAAATCAAGAAGCAGTTTCAAGAAAAGTTGAAAAATGTGTTGAAAACTACAGGAAATAGGAAAAAAACTAAAACAAAAAAAACAAAAAGCAAATCTATAACAAAATCTTAAATATAATGATCTTAACTGTGTTGAGATTTGTCTTAAAAATGTGAATAACTGAAGACAGACCATGATGCGGCCATAATGTAAACTTGTCTAAACTTGTCTAATTTGCACAACACCACACCTGTATTTAGTTAAATGAAGGTTTAACTGTCGAAAAGAATGCAAGGTAAAGGAAGGCATACAGCATTTTTCCTTTTTGGAGTTTTGTGTTGACGACATAGGTAGAGTGATTCCGTTTTACAACTCAGAGCTACTTCCTATATTTTTGTACAAACAATCACTTCATAAATACTGACCACCGGTACTATCCCCTCAAACCAAGTAATACACTGAGAAAAACAAATCTGCATTTTATTAAAGGGCCCATGTCATGTCATTTTCTGATCTCTGTTCTAATGTGAAGTTCAACTGGTCTTACAATAATTTAAGTTATTACCTGGTCCCCGAAGGGTTGAGCAGGTTTTGTGCTCACCCTGTGTGTGTGTCTGTGTGTCTGTCCACCCACGATAATTCCGCCATTTATGGACCAATTTTCACAAAATTTGGTACGTGAGTCAAGCCCCCGTGCCCGATGCCGCAAAAAAAAAGTTTGGGGACGATCCGAGGTCATTTGAAATCTCACGGGTCAATTGAAAGGTCACGCCATTATAAAGGATTTGGCAATTTTGGCAATTTCTGAACCATCTGCGGCCTAAAATATTCACCCAATCATCACACAAGTTGGCACACACATAACGCCTCATGGGGGATCAGGTTGCTATCTCCGATTGCGCTTGTTAGGATTTTTTTTTTCAGACCAAGAGTTTGTTTTCATACCTGACAGTTTCGACTGTTCACTAGTGCTCTTCCTCAGAGTGGTCACGTGATGTTGCTGTGACGTGTGACAAGCTGATTTATACAGATTTTGGTGCCATCTTCCTACCGGTGGAGGCAGGACGACATCGCCATCTGCAGTTAGACTTCCTCAGGACAGAATCCCAGGTGTGTGAGAGTAAAAAGCCCCTCATCCTGGTTTATAGTCCCATGAGCATGTTTCCGTATTTCGATTGCCTCTTTAATCCAGCGACGATGTTTGTTGTCCTCTGTCCCAATGAAATCCCCTGCATGTCCTGCAATAAAATGCACATTGGGGAAACAGAATACAGACAGAATGCGAGAAGGAAACAGCAAAGGTGTGCACCAGAGCAACAAAACATGAAATAGAACAGGAACAACTCAAATTGGCCATTTCAGACAAAAAAAAAGAGAGAAGCACATTCTGGACTTGGACGGGAGCAAACATCACTGGGACAGAGGAAAACAAACATTGTCGCTGGATTAAAGAGGCAATCGAAATACTAAAACATGCCCACGAGACCATAAACCAGGACAAGGGGCTTTTTTACTCTCCCACACCTGGGATACTGTCCTGAGGAGGTGGGACTGCAGATGGCGCTGTCATCCGGTAGGAAAACAAATCAGCTGACCGGACACGTCACAGCAACATCACATGACCACTGTTCTAATGTTGTTTCCTCATCACAAACATTCCTGGAGTTGTGTTTTGTTTCATTCATATGTTAAACACACAAGTTCTTGATTTCTTTTCTCAAACTAAAAACGTTCTGCTCCACCTTGTGATGTCACGTGGTGATACAGGAAGTGCTCCACTGTGTTTTGTTGTTAAACTCCACACACCTTCACTAGAATATTCTGGATCATTTCAGCACTGGAATTTCCAATCTCTGCTGAACTAAAGGTAAAAGGAGCTGTTAATTAATTTGAAAACTACCGCTTCATGACATCAAAAGGCGGAACAGAGCATTTTGCGCTTTGCAGATATACAGACTAATGTGTGGATGAAACAAAACACAACTCCAGGTCTGTTTTTGAGGAAGTAACAACATTATAACATGACTCAGTGCTCATGAGAGTCACAGAACCTTTAAATATTATTGTCTTATAGAATGTTGTGAATTTTACTGCTACTTCCTGCATTTTTGTCCTTTTTCTCCCATCAACTGCTGCTTAACGTATTTAACCTATAGTAAATATTGACCACAGGTACGATCCACCAGACCAAATCAGAATTAAAACATCATGAAAACCTTAATAAGAAAATGCCTGATAGCCACTGATCTAACAAATATATTCCCCTGTAATTCCAAAGATAGATCTGCATTTCTAAACTCTCTCACTCCTTGTGGACGTTGTCATGGCAACATTTTCACTTTCACCTCTCTCCAGTAAAACAAAACTAGCTCTGCCCTGCTCTGGGGAAATCCCATGTCTGTGATATAAAAGGTGGATCAGACCAGGGGCAGCTCAGATTAACAAAGGAGTTATGAGCAGATCACAACTGCACAAAAGTACTGCTACTCTACTGTTCACCATGAAGAGGCTCTTGGCCAGCAGAAACCGCAAAGACAGAACTCCACTTATAGAAGCCAACAACAATAATGATTGTCCAGAGAGTGAGTACCTTTAAGTGATTTACATAGATAGATAGATAGACGAATGAATGGAAAGATAGAATAGAATTGATGTCGTCTACTAATCTTTAATTGCTTCTATTTTCCATCACACATCTTGTACTGTTCAAATAAACAGAGTTAGTAATAGCAATAGTATTGGATTTTATTATATTGTTTGCAAGATAGTAGTAGCAGTAATAGCTGTAGTAGTAGTAGCAGCAGTAGTAGTAGTAGTATTAACTGACATAGTAGTAGTTGAACATGAAATATGAATAAGTTTAAATGGGAGTTGGTAATAGCAGTAATGGATTTTTGTATATATGGTATGCAGAAATAGTAGTAGTAGTAGTAGTAATAGTATTAGTAGCATTAAATGACATATAATTGTTCTTTAGCAGTGATGGTGTAATATTAGCAGTAGCTGTAGTAGCAGTAGTTGAATTTAAAATATTGAGTTATATGGGAGATCTTATTACATAAACAACCTTGTAACTCTTAACTAGAAGTAGGAAGTACTCACACTAGGACTTTAGAACCGTGCCCAAGCTCGGATCGCTCCAGGGTGAGCAAATCAAACCGTGCTCAGGCGTGGCACGGTTGGTCCTTTGGCCCGGTTGGACGAGGTGGGCCAAAGCAGGACACGGTTGCTCATGTACACGCACACGCACGACTTTATTATAAGAGCCCTGTGTGCGCGCTGATGTTACTCACAGGAGGAAAACAGTGAATAAAACCTGCTCCAAAACACACGATAAACCCGCACTCACCTTCAATAAAAACACACAGAAGTTCAGCCGCTTCTGGTCTCCGACATCATCACTGCTCCACGCTGTTTTTATCTCCATAAACTCACGGAGCAAAGTGTATCATAAAAGGACGCACATCAGCCTCACTATTTAATAAATATTTCTGCCGCTAATAGATATTTTCTCTGCTAAAAGCGTTAGCATGGTTAGCACATGTAAACAAACAGCGGCGGGTGATGACGTCATCGGGCGGTGGCGCGGGTCGGACGTGCAGGTGTGAGTGCGTCCTTATAATGTCATCTACTAAGTGATTCAAATCTTTAATTGTCTCTATTTTCCATCACACATCTTGTACTGTTCAAATAAATAGAGTTAGTAATAGCAATAGTAGTGGATTTTATTATATTGTATGTGAAATAGTAGTAGCCATAGTAGCTGTAGTAGTAGTAGTGATAGTAGTAGTAGTAGTAGTAATAATAATAGTAGTAGTAGTAGTAGTAGTAGTAGTAGTAGTAGTAGTAGTAGTAGTAGTAGTAGTAGTAGTAGTAGTAGTAGTAGTAGTAATAGTAGTAATAGTAGTAGTAGTAGTAGTAGTAGTAGTAGTAGTAGTAGTAGTAGTAGTAGTAGTAGTAGTGAAGTAGTAGTAGTAGTAATAGTGATAGTAGTAGTAGTAGTCATAGTAGTAGTAGTAGTAGTAGTAGTAGTAATAGTAATAATAGTAGCAGAAGTAGTGATAGTAGTAGTAGTAGTAGTAGTAGTAGTAGCAATAGTAGTAATAGTTGAAAATTAAATATGAAAAAGTTATAAATGGGTGTTAATAATAGCAGTAGTATTGTATTTTATTATATTGTATGCCTAACAGTAGTAGCACTAGTAGTAGTAGAAGTAGGAGTAGTAGTAGTAGTAGTAGTAGTAGTAGTAGTAGTAGTAGTAGTAGTAGTAGTAGTAGTAGTTAAAAATGAAATATGAAAAAGTTATAAATAGGTGTTAGTAATAGCAGTAGTATTGAATTTTATTATATTGTATGCAAAACAGTAGTAGCACTAGTAGTAGTATTAAATTACATATTCTTTAGCAGTGATTGTGCCGTATTTGCAGTAGTAGCAGTAGTAATAGGAGTAGGAGTAGTGGTTGAATATGAAACATGAGTAATAGCAGTAGTCTTGGATTTTGGTATATGGTTTGTAGAAATAGTAACAGTAGTAGTTGTAATAGTAGTAGTTGTAGCAGTATTGAATGACATATAATTATTCTTTAACAGTGAGTGTGCAGTATTAGCAGTAGCAGTAGTAGTTGTAATAGTATTAAATGACATATAATTATTCTTTAGCAATGACTGTGCAGTATTATCAGTAGCAGTAGTAGCAGTAGTTGAATATGCCAATTGTGAGATCATGTTACATAAGCAGCTTTGTAACTTGTATCTAGTGAATGTGGTCAGACCGGATTTTGTTTAAAGTGAAGTGATCCAAGCGTAGAACTGAAATGACAACAAGCACTTAAGTTCAAATTTGTTCAGTGACATTAGATATAAACTGAATATAAAAATGTACAGTTAAGTAGCCTTTTGAGGTAAACTAAATTGTAATTGAAGTCTTTAATGTTTTAAATGTCTTTATAATAAATATTCTTAACTTAACTTAACTTTAATATTGATTTCACATCCTCATATTTGGGTGAAAGTCTCTAATTCATTGGGACTCTACGGGCTTTCCTGTTTTAAGATTTAATTTTGAAATCTTCAAATGGCAAATCAACTTTTTTGCTTGTAAATGGTTCTTTTAAAGGCTTTGACCTTATAGTACAAACTCATAACAGCTTTGTGGTCTGAAACTTTAATGCAGATACTTAAAGTTGCATTATGTAACTTTTTGGTTGGGAGTCCGGCAACTTCTTGTTTCTATGGATATGTCATTGCTCTGCCTGGAATGTTCCACAGTGTGACTTTAAATGGCTTTAACTTACATTTGTTAAAGTACAGGTGGTTTTATTTCTCAAAAATACCTAAAAAGTCAATCACAGAAATCACCATGTTAAACATTTGTGAATTCACTTTTTATATATTTCATGGTAAAGTACAATGTAACAGGGAATTTTGTTTTATCCTCTTAATTGCATATATACATACAAATGATTAGAAAACTATTCTAAACATACATGCAAGAAATCAGATAAACAATATAACATTACAAGACATAAGGGTAGATTGATAATTTCAGTTCTTTATAAATTGATAAATAGTCAAAACTGTCTTTTGCCTCGATCTGAGAGTATGACATCAGCGTCATCATTTTAGAATCTGAAAAGCACCAGTCCCTTTAAATGAATGCAGTAAATCTTCTGAGTGTGATCCAGTAGTTTGAATGTTTTGTACACAGTGTTGGGAAGGTTACTCTTAAATGTATTCCCCTACAGATTACAGATTACAAACCCCAAAATGTAGTTTGTAACAGAAACCATTATCATCTGTATACTTTGGATTACTTGATTTGCTGTAGAGAAGCAAAGAGTAGGATATCTTAACATAAGATGTTTTGTCTGCTAAAAGACAATAAAAAACCCAGAATTTACTTGACCAGATTCAAAATATTGATAGAGAAATGATTTTTATATGAGATCACTGCTGCCTTCAATTATGTCCACTCTACTGTTAGTGTCATATTGTTTATTTAAAAAAACAACAACCTCACTTTCAGTACAAACATAAAGGCGCCAGCCCAGTAAAAATCTGTAATATTTTATGTTTTTTTTACTCAAAATGATACAGAATCAGGTTATTAACAGTGTGGTGCATGGGAGGAGACACAGGCCGCGCAGCATGGTTTAGTCCTGGGAAATCCTGTTTTAGTCCCGGTTTTAAACCTGGTTTAGTCCTGTTTTAGTCCTGGTTTTAGACCTGGTTTAGACCTGGTTTAGACCTAGTTTAGTTTCCAGCAATGAATGTAATTACCAAAATTTAAAAAATAAAAAATAAAAATGGGATACAGCCCAAAATGAGAAAACAGGAAAATACTGCCATGTAATCCATTTATTTCAACAAAGTAACTGTAATCCAATTACTCATTGAAACAGTAACTGTACCCGAATGCAGTTACCCATAATTTGATTACATAACGCCGGTACATGTAATCCGTTACTCCCCAACACTGTTTGTACATCTTTCCTGAGCAGCGATACTTCGAAACACATGGAGGCGTGTGGAGCTCTGTGATTGGTCCAGATTTATCCCAATTTCATTCCACTGTCAACCGGACCTGCTGCATTCTTTAGCTGCTTAGTGAATGTTGTTGTGCTCTGAGTCTGATTCACTAAGTTGAAAGTTTTGCATGCGTCACTGAAGAAGGATTCCCCGTCTCTCTCCCTGGTGATGTTTTGAAGCACGTGGAGGCGCGTGGAGCTCTGTGATTGGTCCAGATTTACCTCACCTAAATTACATCATCATAGCTGCTTGAGTTTTTATTTACTGCAAGTCACGTGGTCCAAAATATGAGTACATGAGTAAGAGGTGGTTTATTTAGAGAAAGCAGTGGATAAATTACATGGCCTGGATAATTTGATCTGATTTTGGTTTGTGTTTACAGCACGACAGAAATCAAAAACACTTGGTGCAAAATGGACTTTCCAGAGCTTTTATGCATGTTACATTTGTTTAATCAGAGTTGTGGTCATCTTTATTCTTCTGTACCCCATCACCCACTGCTCTGTTACATTTATCTTTTCTTAAATAAATGATACACGTAGGATTTGACATCATCACAAATGAAAAAAACAATCAGAAAGAAATCAGATTACTCACATAGATGTAACGGTTTATGTGACATTTCACTAATCGGATAACTCCATTAGATAATATCAGATTTCTGGTGTGTAAATAAAGCCAGTGGCAATAAGATTCAAGTATTTTAGATGATGTTAGTGTGCGTCCCTCGATATTACAGTGAGACAGAACCATAAATAAATAGAAATGTATAAACACATTCACTTCTCACAGTTCTGTTCTCTCTGTTTCAGGACACGCTCCGTACCTTGACACTCCAGCGATTCAAAACTCCATCAACGCAAATGAAGACTGGACCAGAAACCAGGCCAGAGACCAGACCAGGGACCAGACCAGAGACCAGGCCAGAGACCAGACCAGAGACCAGACTAGAGACCAGACCAGAGACCAGACCAGGGACCAGACCAGAGACCAGACCAGGGACCAGACCAGAGACCAGACCAGAGACCAGACCAGAGACCACACCAGGGACCAGACCAGGGACCAGACCAGAGACCAGACCAGAGATCAGATCAGGGACTTAAGTAGAGACCAGACCACAGACCAGACCACAGACCAAACCACAGACCAGACCAGGGATCAGTCCAGTCCTCCGTCCTTGAGCCTGGAGAGTCTGTGTGCAGTCCTGGGGGTTAGTCCTGGTCTCTCTGTGGTCCACTATCGCTCTGGTCTAGACTCAGGTCAGGTCTTGGACTTGGATTACACTGAGTTCCTGATTGAAGAGTCTGTGCGCATTCACGTTCCACAGAAAGAGCTGGAGACAGAGCCACAGCGCCACCTTCAGGCCTTACAGAGCACTGTGCTACATGAGCTGCTCAGACTGGGCCCTCTGCTGGAGCCCTGGGGGCTGATGGGAAATCTGACACAGAAGTACCACCATGGTCTGATCTCTCACATGAAGAACCTACTGGTACAGACCTGCACCACTAAGACCTGCTTCCAGCTGCTCCGGTGGGCCCACACTCAGTACCTCAGGTACTTTTATAATGAAATACTCTTTCATTCAGTTAGCACTTTACCCTCACAGCAAGAAGGTCCTGGGTCTGATTCCCGGGCGTAGGGCCATTTAGTGGAGTTTGCACATTCTCCCTGTGCCTGTGCATCGTGTGCTCTGGAGGTCCCAGGTTGACAGCCAGCGCCACAGGGCAGTCAGCGATGGCTGTAACCTTAGTTAAAGAAGCCAGTTAGGGCTACAGTCGTGTTTAAATAAAAAGAAAATAATAGAAGTTCTTTGTGTTTTCTGTGCCTCAGTCCAGACCTGTTCCTTCACCCGGACCTAAACCAGGACCAGACCTGGAACTTGGACCTGGTTCTTCTGAGCGACTGGGTCCAAGATGCTCAGAAGCGGCTCACAGACCTGCAGGAGGTTCAGTCTAAACATCACATCAGACAGATTCATGTGACTTGTTTTCATGTTTATAATAAAAGCTGGTGTTTCTTTGTAGGTGGAGGTTTGGGGTCAGCTCCAGCTCACTCTGCAATATGACCAAGAGCCCTGTGAGAGCCTAGAGCACTATACCAGGACCTATGTGGATGTCATACAGGTAGAACACAGTTCATTTCATTTTTCTACACATTTTCCATATTAACCATTATACCATGTTCCATATTAACCCTGTGATTATATTGTCTGTTTGTCTCCAGTGCATTGAGGCGGCTCCCTCTGTAGCTCAGACCTTCAGCCCCTCTCTGTCTCTGAAACTGTCTCAGCTCTGTCTGCAGCTGCTGCACTCATTCACAAACAGGTAAAATACATTCAACTGGAAATGTGCAACAAAGATGAATTCAATATAAAGACTTATGTATAAATGCAGTGTATAAACTGTTGAGGAGACATACAGTTCACTGGCTCTGGTTTGAATATTGTGCCTGTACTTTGCCTTATCATTGTGTTTTTTCTTTTGCAGTTACAGGGAGCACTGGTTCCAGATTTTGAGCAAAAAGAAATTGTTTAAATCGGAGTTGGTGACATTTTTTAAAATTCTGAAAACCTGCAAAGAAATCAAGTGAGTAAATAAATAAAAAATAAAAAAAAGAAGTAAAATAAAACACTTCACAGATTAACTGTAAATGTTGAATATAATTTATTTTCAGGAAACACATCCAGACTAAATATAAAAAGCAAGATGGAAGTGTTAAAGAAACTGTGTCTCTGCTCGAGGAAATAGAAACTTTTACTTTGGAGATTCTTCACAAAGATTTGGCTGCCTTCACTGAGGTAAGACTTTACATCTTGTATCCCTGTGTGTCGGAGAAATGCAGCAGGAGAATGAACTTTGTCACTAATAGAAATGATGGGGGGGGGCATTCTACATTCTGTCCCCACCTTCAAAAGACATGGTACAATATTTATGTTTTAAAATAAAAAATCGTCGTATTTTGTTTCAGAGAGCTTTGAAGAAATACTTTGGGTTGAATCACACGAACAGAATCTTGATTGATGAGCTGGAGAAGTTTTTCACTGTGAAGCCGTGGCTCAGTTTGGAGGAACATGAGGTCAGTTTAAATCCACACTCCCTACAACAGTACAACACTCACCTTTATGTAAGAGATAATACTCCCTACAACTGTACAACACTCACCTTTATGTAAGAGATAATACTCCCTACAACTGTACAACACTCACCTTTATGTAAGAGATAATACTCCCTACAACTGTACAACACTCACCTTTATGTAAGAGATAATACTCCCTACAACTGTACAACACTCACCTTTATGTAAGAGATAATACTCCCTACAACTGTACAACACTTTATGTAAAGATAATACTCCTACAACTGTACAACACTCACCTTTATGTAAGAGATAATACTCCCTACAACTGTACAACACTCACCTTTATGTATGAGATAATACTCCCTACAACTGTACAACACTGACACCTCACCTTTATGTATGAGATAATACTCCCTACAACTGTACAACACTCACTTTATGTAAGAGATAATACTCCTACAACTGTACAACACTCACCTTTATGTATGAGATAATACTCCCTACAACTGTACAACACTCACCTTTATGTATAAGATAATACTCCCTACAACTGTACAACACTCACCTTTATGTAAGAGATAATACTCCTACAACTGTACAACTCACCTTTATGTATACAACTGTACAACACTCACCTTTATGTATGAGATAATACTCCCTACAACTGTACAACACTCACCTTTATGTATGAGATAATACTCCCTACAACTGTACAACACTCACCTTTATGTATGAGATAATACTCCCTACAACTGTACAACACTCACCTTTATGTATGAGATAATACTCCCTACAACTGTACAACACTCACCTTTATGTATGAGATAATACTCCCTACAACTGTACAACACTCACCTTTATGTATGAGATAATACTCCCTACAACTGTACAACACTCACCTTTATGTAAGAGATAATACTCCCTACAACTGTACAACACTCACCTTTATGTATGAGATAATACTCCCTACAACTGTACAACACTCACCTTTATGTAAGAGATAATACTCCCTACAACTGTACAACACTCACCTTTATGTATAAGATAATACTCCCTACAACTGTACAACACTCACCTTTATGTAAGAGATAATACTCCCTACAACTGTACAACACTCACCTTTATGTAAGAGATAATACTCCCTACAACTGTACAACACTCACCTTTATGTAAGAGATAATACTCCCTACAACTGTACAACACTCACCTTTATGTAAGATAATACTCCCTACAACTGTACAAACACTCACCTTTATGTAAGAGATAATACTCCCTACAACTGTACAACACTCACCTTTATGTAAAGATAATACTCCCTACAACTGTACAACACTCACCTTTATGTAAAGATAATACTCCCTACAACTGTACAACACTCACCTTTATGTAAAGATAATACTCCCTACAACTGTACAACACTCACCTTTATGTAACGAGATAATACTCCCTACAACTGTACAACACTCACCTTTATGTAACAGATAATACTCCCTACAACTGTACAACACTCACCTTTATGTAACAGATAATACTCCCTACAACTGTACAACAACTCACCCTTATGTAACAGATAATACTCCCTACAACTGTACAACACTCACCTTTATGTATGAGATAATACTCCCTACAACTGTACAACACTCACCTTTATGTATGAGATAATACTCCCTACAACTGTACAACACTCACCTTTATGTATGAGATAATACTCCCTACAACTGTACAACACTCACCTTTATGTAACAGATAATACTCCCTACAACTGCACAACTCACCCTTATGTAACAGATAATACTCCCTACAACTGTACAACAACTCACCCTTATGTAACAGATAATACTCCTACAACTGTACAACAACTCACCCTTATGTAACAGATAATACTCCCTACAACTGTACAACAACTCACCCTTATGTAACAGATAATACTCCCTACAACTGTACAACAACTCACCCTTATGTAACAGATAATACTCCCTACAACTGTACAACAACTCACCCTTATGTAACAGATAATACTCCCTACAACTGTGCAACACTCACCCTTATGTAACAGATAATACTCCCTACAACTGTGCAACAACTCACCCTTATGTACAGATAATACTCCCTACAACTGTACAACAACTCACCCTTATGGACCAGATAATACTCCCTACAACTGTGCAATTCACCCTTATGGAACAGATAGGGTCAAAAGCATTTCACGGACCCTCCAGCAGAAAAGTTACTCAATGCAAAATTTTAAATTGATGGAATTAGATACAATCAAAATCACAATTAGAATGTTTGCAATTACCCAGTTTCCTACACACATATCAAAATCTCTAGTCTCATTTTGCATCAAACCATCTCACACTGTAGTTTAGATCTGTACAAACATGTTCTGAAGTGTGATTCTTGTGTTAGTTTGAGAATCTATGAACTCATGGCCCTGTGTTGTTTTGTGTTGTTTTGTGTTGTTTTGTGTTGTTGTTGTGTGTGTGCAGGATGTGTTGTCTGACTGCTACAGGCTCGTAGTGTCTCTGTACATTCAGCACATGAGGAGCTTCTCTCTGCGCAGACTGAGGAAGAACTGGAGCCCAAACATGGACTCCTCTGTGACCGAAGACGCACAGCTCATTCACAAAACCATCAGCAGCCAGGTCAGACATCTACCGTATTTTCTGCACTATAGGGTGCACTTAAAAGCCTTTAATTTCATCCAAAAACAACTGTGCACCTTATAATCCAGACGCCTTATTTATGAATTTATTGGAGCGTCTTAGTACGACTTTAGTAAACTACAAAGCCGCTCCACTTGCAGCATTACAGTTCTCGTAGTCAGGAGCATCAGGAGTAATACAGACTGTGATTCCTTTTAATATCAAAATGCTCCTGTCAAGAGACACGCTCACAACACCCACTTTAAACTCAAGACTGTTCTAAAGTGAAAGTGCGAGCTGCGTGGGAGCAGTGGATGAGACAAGAAACACACATTCACAAAGACAGAGAGACAGCGCCGAGCCACTTACACCACGATCTGCCAACGGATCGTGGACGTCAAGGATCAGTATCAACTGTGGTCCAAGATTTCACCAAGACCAGAATCATCACTGAACTGAACTCCAGGGAACAGTAACCACACTGACTCAGATAATGACCAGAGGGATGTGGACGTGTGGACGCCAGAATCACCCAGCTGTTAGAACTATTATGACTTATTGTGAATATTCGAACAATTTAGCGTCTCAGACAGTATTTTATTTATGCATTACAATTGAACAAAGTTGAGAGTTATTGTGAATGCGTTAAATAAAGTTTGACTGATTTATCGAACTGTTGTGTTTCGTTTAATGCGCCTTATAGTCCGGTGCGGTTTATGTGAAAAAAGTTCAAAAACAGACCATTCAATGACAGTGCGCCTTGTAATCCAGAGCGTCCTATAGTGCCAAAATATGGTACACATTCACACATATTATTATTACTACATATTTATTTACTATTCACTGTTTTATGCTGCACTTCTCCACCAAGACACGTTCCTGATTTCTGATTCTGATCTCTTGTTTTTGCAGTGCCCTGGAGTGAAAAAGTGGAACATTTTATTGCATTTTGTCAGTGAAGTGATAAAGACAGAAGACATAGATGCCATCAAAATATCAACTGGGGATCTGCTGAAAAAATGCAAGGAGAATGAGTAAGAAATAATAAATACAATATGTCAGAGTGGTTATCTGGCCTCCTCCGCTCAGTGAGGAGGTTGTGGGTTCAACTCCTGATCTCTCTTTTTTTTTTCAGTCTCAAATTGGACATGTCTCTCCCGATCGGCCTCCTTCAGTGGAAAGGTCTGTCCCGAAGTAGAATTGAAGAAGTCCTGAATTCTCTGATGGACCTGGACTCGGATCTGGACTTGGATCTGGACTTCCTCCTGCCCTCCGGATGCTGCGTTGGATAAAGGACAGAAGGTTTTCAAGTCCAAACACCACAATGTGAATATTTCACATCCCAAAGTGTCATCACAGTTGTTTTACTGTGAATAGGAATTATTTTAAATATTTTCCATTCCTGAGTAACTGTAACTGTAACGGTGCAATGTGAGTGAACAAGCACTAGAGGGCGTCTCACACAGCACATTTTATTTTGCTGTGGTGAAGCTTGATTTCTTTAAAAACATGTAACATTTGTTTTCTTCATGTTTATTTTGAGAAGTACTTAAATACTTAAAGGTACACTATGTAACTTTCTGGAGGTGGCATGTCACCTGCATGATTCCATGGAATTATAAATAATAAAGTTAAAACCATGTTGATAGGTTTCATGCCATACTGGGATTTAGATTACAGCCTAATAAGAGTCAGGTTTGTGGAGAAGCAAGCCCGCTCAGAGTAATGACACAGGCCTGCAATGAACACAACCAAAAGCACAAAACATGATTTTATTTTAATCGATTTTGTGGTTAAAAAGTTCCATACGATGGCTTTAATAGCTTGTTCTGTCCTACTGTTTATTTTATGTATTTATTTAAGTTTATTTATTTTCTATTTATTATTTATTGTCTTATTCTGTATCTTTGAGAGATTTTTGTACATGAGAGATCTGAAGGGGATTTGATTTGGTTTAGCAGTTTCTTTTGTATATTTCTGATCAGGGAAATTGTGTTGTTTTGAGAATTTTCTTGGAAAATAATAAACTTTTTGGAACAACATTGGCTGGTTTGCTGCTCTCTGATCTTAGTCTAGTTTAGTCCAGGTTTAACCCTTTACCAGAGTTTTCATTCTAGTTCACAAAGAAATGCTCATTTAGTTCATGACTCACACACTAAGCAGTCTTTGAACCCTTTAGTTTTTTTTTGTTTTTTTTTCAGAATCAGAATCAGAATCAAATTTATTTGTCATTCCAGTATAAAAAATACATAGAAACGAAACAATGCACTCAGGTCCAGGTCAACAGCAGCACAGATAACAATAAGAACATATAGTTATAACAAGAATAAAATACTTAAAAATATTGTATATCAACCCGCCCCCATTTTCTAAAGTGCGTTCCAAGTCAGTGCTGTTTTGTAGTGTTTTTTCTGACAGAATTAATCTGTCTTCAACTAAACAGTGCAGCATCTTAATTGGGGATTTATCCATCCATCCATTTTCGTCCGCTTATCCGGGGCCGGGTCGCGGGGGGAGCAGCCTAAGCAGGGACTCCCAGACTTCCTTCACCCCAGACACGTCCTCCAGCTCCTCCGGGGGGACCCCGAGGTGTTCCCAGGCCAGCCGAGAGACATAGTCCCTCCAGCGTGTCCTGGGTCTTCCCCGGGGCCTCCTCCCGGCGGGACCTGCCCGGAACACCTCCCGAGGGAGGCGCCCAGGAGGCATCCGGAACAGATGCCCGAGCCACCTCAACTGGCTCCTCTCGACGTGGAGGAGCAGCGGCTCTACTCCGAGCTCCTCCCGTGTGACTGAGCTCCTCACCCTGTCTCTAAGGGAGCGCCCAGCCACCCTGCGGAGGAAACTCATTTCGAGCGCTTGTATCCGCGATCTCGTCCTTTCGGTCACTACCCAGAGCTCATGACCAGAGGTGAGAGTAGGAACGAAGACTGACCGGTAAATCAAGAGCTTCGCCTTTCGCCTCAGCTCCCTCTTCACCACAACGGTCCGATACAGCGACCGCATCACTGCCGAAGCTGCACCGATCCGCCTGTCAATCTCACGTTCCGTCCTTCCCTCACTCGTGAACAAGACCCCGAGATACTTGAACTCCTCCACTTGAGGCAAAGACTCCCCACCCACCCGGAGAGGGCAAGCCACCTTTTTCCGGTCGAGAACCATGGCCTCGGACTTGGAAGAGCTGATCTTCATCCCAGCCGCTTCACACTCGGCTGCAAACCGCCCCAGTGCACATTGTAGGTCCTGGCTCGATGAAGCCAACAGAACAATATCGTCCGCAAACAGCAGAGATGAAATCCTGTGGTCCCCAAACCGGACCCCCTCCGGCCCCTGACTGCGCCTAGAAATTCTGTCCATAAACACAATGAACAGAACCGGTGACAAAGGGCAGCCCTGGCGGAGTCCAACATGCACCGGGAACAGGTCTGACTTACTGCCGGCAATGCGAACACAGCTCCTGCTCCGGTCATACAGGGACCGGACAGCCCTTAGCAAAGGGCCCCGGACCCCATACTTCCCAGAGCACCCCCACAGGACACCACGAGGGACACGGTCGAATGCCTTCTCCAGATCCACAAAACACATGTGGACTGGTTGGGCAAACTCCCATGAACCCTCGAGCACCCGATGGAGAGTGTAGAGCTGGTCCAGTGTTCCACGGCCAGGACGAAAACCACACTGCTCTTCCTGAATCCGAGGTTCGACTATCGGCCGGATTCTCCTCTCCAGTACCCTGGCATAGACCTTACCGGGAAGGCTGAGGAGTGTGATCCCCCTATAGTTGGAACACACCCTCCGGTCCCCCTTCTTATACAGAGGGACCACCACCCTGGTTTGCCAGTCCAGAGGTACTGTCCCCGACCGCCACGCGATGTTGAAGAGGCGTGTCAGCCAAGACAGCCCCACAACATCCAGAGACTTCAGGTACTCAGGATGGATCTCATCCAACCCCGGAGCCTTGCCACCAAGGAGCTTGCCAACCACCTCAGTGACTTCAGCCTGGGTGATGGATGAGTCCGCCTCCGAGTCCCCAGCCTCGGCCTCCTCCTCGGAAGACGTGACGGTGGGATTGAGGAGATCCTCAAAGTATTCCTTCCACCGCCGGACAACGTCCCCAGTCGAGGTCAGCAGCTCTCCCCCCGCACTGTAAACAGTGTTGGTGAAGAACTGCTTCCCCTCCTGAGGCGCCGGACGGTTTGCCAGAATCTCTTTGAGGCCGTCCGATAGTCCTTCTCCATGGCCTCCCCGAACTCCTCCCAGCTCCGAGTTTTTGCCTCCACAACCGCACGGGCTGCAGCACGCTTGGCCCGCCGGTACCCGTCAGCTGCTTCAGGAGTCCCCTGAGCCAGCAAGGCCCGATAGGACTCCTTCTTCAGCTTGACAGCATCCCTTACTTCCGGTGTCCACAGGCACCACAGACCTTACGCCCACAGCTCCGAGCAGCTGCATTGACAATAGAGGCCGAGAATGAAGCCCACTCGGACTCCATATCTCCGGCCTCCCCCGGAATCCGGGAGAAGTCCTCCCGGAGGTGCGAGTTAAAGGTCCCTCTGACAGAGGGCTCCGCCAGACTTTCCCAACAGACCCTCACTACACGCTTGGGCCTGCCAGGTCTTTCCGGCTTCCTCCTCCGCCAGCGAACCCAACTCACAACCAGGTGGTGATCAGTTGACAGCTCAGCCCCTCTCTTCACCCGAGTGTCCAAGACACGCTCCCGGAGATCAGATGACACGACTACAAAGTCGATCATCGACCTCTGGCCTAGGGTGTCCTGGTGCCACGTGCACTGATGGACACCCTTGTGCTCGAACATGGTGTTCATTATGGACAAACTGTGACTAGCACAGAAGTCCAATAACAAAACACCACTCGGGTTCAGATCGGGGAGGCCGTTCCTCCCAATCACCCCTCTCCAAGTGTCACTGTCGTTGCCCACGTGGGCGTTGAAGTCCCCCAGGACAACAACGGAGTCCCCGGTCGGTGCACTGTCTAGTACCTCTCCCAAGGACTCCAAGAAGGCCGGGTACTCTGCACTGCTGTTCGGCCCGTAGGCCGACACCACAGAGAGAGACCTGTCCCCGACCCGAAGGCGCAGGGACGCGACCCTCTCGTTCACCTGGGTGAACTCCAACACACAGCGACTGAGCTGTGGGGCAATGAGCAGGCCCACACCAGCCCGCCGCCGCTCCCCGCGGCCAACGCCAGAGAAATGGAGAGTCCAGCCCCTCTCAAGGAGTTGGGTTCCAGAGCCCAAACTGTGCGTGGAGGTGAGGCCGACTATATCTAGTCGGTAACGCTCAACCTCCCGCACAAGCTCAGGCTCCTTCCCCCCCAGCGAGGTGACATTCCATGTCCCCAGAGCTAGTCTCCATGTCCGGAGATCTGGTCGCCGAGGCCCCCGCCGTCGACTGCTGCCCAAGTCTCTCTGCACCAGCCCCATATGGATCCTCCTGCGGGTGGTGGGCCCACGTGAGGACGGCCCCACGTCGCTCCTTCGGGCTGAGCCCGGCCGAGCCCCGTGGGGGGAGGCTCGGCCACCAGGCGCTCGCTGGCGAGCACCCACCCCAGGCCTGGCTCCAGGGTGAGGCCCCGGTGACGCCAATCCGGGCGACGTAACTGGCCTCTGTGTTGCACTCATCATAAGGGGCTCATCATAAACTGGAAGTTATCAACCACTGTTTTATAAACTACAGATGTGAGGCCTTTTGTGGAAGTTTCTGTAAATATCTATTTTATTATTCATAAATTCGACTCAGGGTCATTCAACAGGTATGTTTTAAATCTCCTCCAACAGGGGGAAGGTTTGGTTTCATTCAACTCTATCTCTAACTTAATATTATCTGAAATAGTAGTTGCTATAGAAATAAATAACGTGATCTAAATTTGGCCACAAGTTTGAGAAGCCAAAAACATGTCAACCGGGGACAGCTTGAATTTGAGTGGTATTAAATGTAGTTTTATTGAAGCTCAGACTTGTTACAAACACGTACGCGCACTCAGAGAGAGCAGGAGTCTAACCTGTTCGCTTTACTGAGAGGAAGAGACACTGCGCCTATCCTGCCCACAACCTCCTCTTTACAATAAAAAAAAGCAATGCATGTAAAAAGTAGAAGTGAAAGTGTTGCAAATGTGTCCTCAGACTGTATCGACTGCAGAAGGTGAGATGAACATAAGACAGGAGCATCTGTGAAAGAAAACACTGCTCAAAGACATAGACATGGAGAACATGAGGAAAATGTTCAAAAGGTTAAAAAAACCCAAAAGAAGCAGAAGCAGAGCTCGTCTGGTGTCCTTGGAAAGTTCTGTGGACGGTACGTACATGTGAAAGAACTTTTGTTTCTTATCACGATGACGTCGTGTGTGTGTGTGTGTGTGTGTGTGTGTGTGTGTGTGTGTGTGTGTGTGTGTGTGTGTGTGTGTGTGTGTGTGTGTGTGTGTGTGTGTGTGTGTGTGTGTGTGTGTGTGTGTGTGTGTGTGTGTGTGTGTGTGTGTGTGTGTGTGTGTGTGTGTGTGTGTGTGTGTGTGTGTGTGTGTGTGTGTGTGTGTGTGTGTGTGTGTGTGTGTGTGGGTGTGTGTGTGTGTGTGTGTGTGTGCTGCTCTTGTGTGTGTGCTGCTCTCATGTGTGTTCTCAGTTTTGCATAATATGAATTGTATTTCTTTATAAAAAGCACTAATAGCATAGTTTGGATGAGCTGCTCAGACTGAGAAGAGTCTAAAATAGAAGCAGTGCAGCTTTAGTCCATGCATGAGGTTAAATTATAAAATATGTTTATTTTTTATTTAATTCCAAATGAGCTTAAAGGGCCAGTCAAAGTTAATCAAAGGGCTGTATGTGGCCTCGGAGTTGGACAACGCCCAATGCTCTGTTTGCTGTAATTGTTTTCCAAACCCGTGTTCGGCTGAGAACAAGCTCTAAGTCTGTCATTTCCTGTCTGTTTCTGAAGAGACGTTTTTATGTTATTTTTACGTAGATACAAAACCACATGAGCTCTGTCACATGAGCCGAGTGTGTGCAGCTCAGAGACTTTCCCACAGTCACTGACACATTTAAGCTCTCATGATACAAAACCTGCAAATATAAAATATTTATTTACAATAAAACCAGTCTAAAGATGATTATTTTTCATACAGAGTCACAGCAGAACTTAACAGGCCCATCCACTTCAAAGTCCACTGTGTTTCCACAAGTAAATGTTGATTCCTTTTCCCATGGACTTTTAAAAAACATCATTTTGTCTAAAATTCAGTATATGGTTATAATATAATTCAATAACATTGTAAAATGATTTTCACATTGATTTTAATAAACTGCTTTCAGTTTCTCATCTGGTTCCTCTTGATGTGGAGGAGCAGTGGCTCTGGTCCGAGCTCCTGCAGTCCACTGCAGTGGAAACTCACTTTAATCCCTCTCCTGCCCAAAGACACATGTTGGTCTTTGCTCCAACTCAGTGTTAAACTGCAGCTTCACTTACACTTTAAACTGTCCTGTGTGCAGCACCATGTCTGACACACTGTTCTACTGTTTCAGCGGATGAAAGAGACACACCCATAGACCAGACCAGAGACCAGACCATAGACCAGACCAGAGACCGAACCAGAGACCGAACCAGAGACCAAACCAGAGACCGAACCAGAGACCAAACCAGAGACCGAACCAGAGACCGAACCAGAGACCGAACCAGAGACCAAACCAGAGACCGAACCAGAGACCGAACCAGAGAGCGGACCAGGGACCAGAGCAGTGACCGGAGCAGAGACCTGAACGGAGACCCAACCAGAGACCAAACCGGAGACCAGACTGGAGACCAGACTGGAGACCAGACTGGAGACCAAATGGGAGACCAACCTGGAGACCAGAACAGTGCTCTGTCCTTAGATCAGGAGAGGCTGTGTGGGGTCCTGCGAGTTATTCCTGGTCTCTCCATGGTCCAGGTTCGCCGTGGTCTGAGCTCAGGTCTGGGCTCAGGTCTGGGCTCAGGTCTGGGCTCAGGTCTGGGCTCAGGTCTGGTTTTCAAGGAGGATGAGGCTGAGATGATTGAGGAGTCTGCTCAGATCCCACAGACGCCTCCAGAGCTGGAGACAGAGCTGCGCAAGAAGAAGAAACTGCTCCCGGCCCGCACCGCTAAAGACTGTCTCCAACTGCTCCAGTGGGCACTCTCTCAGTACTTCAGGTAATACACAAATGGATACTTTGCAGTGACATCATGCCGGGGATGTTCTGTATGGATGTGTATGACAGAATGTTTTCCATTAGCAAACACTGCCAAAAAAGACATAAAACATAAAACGGATTTAAACATCACATTTTCAGGAGCTTGTGATCAGTACGAGTGTTCACGGTCCTGTTTAGGGTCTAATTTGTCTAATGTGTTTGCGCTAACAGGTGTACTGCTTTTTTTTTTTTTTTTATGACCCATGTGTCCTCAGGGAGAGTCGGGAGCTGATCGTCCAGAACTCAGACCTGATCCAGCACATAGACCTGATTCTGTTGAGTGACTGGATCCAACAGGCCCAGGACAAACTGCAGAGGCTTCTGAAGGTGCTGCTTCTGAAGGTGTCTGTGAAAGGAGCAGTGCAGGTTCTTTCTAAAGTTGGCTCTGTGTTTTAGGAAGAAGTTTCCTCTCAGTTGAATCACATCTTGAAACTGGAGACACAGCACCATCCCTGTGCCACTGAGGAGGACTATATCAGGACCTATGTGGACGTGATCCAGGTCAACTCTTTGTTCCAGTAAAATACCTGTATTCAGTCCTTTTAAGCTGCCTCGGGAGTCCTACAAGCCAATGAGGCTTGATAGGACTCCTTCAGCCTGACTGCATCCTTTACATCTGGTGTCCACCACCGGGTTCTGGGGTTTCTGTGAAAACAAGCCCCAGAGACCTTATGACCACAGCTACAGACAGCCACATCCACAACAGAGGAAGAAAACCTGGTCCACTCAGACTTCATGTCCCCAGACTCCCCCAGGATGTGGGAGAAGCTCTGGAGGTGTGATCTAAAGACCTGCTCAGAATGGGCTCCAGACATTCTCAACAGAGCCTCACAATGCACTGAGCTCTGCCACCAGGTGGTGCTCTACAGCTCTGCCACTCTCTTAAAATCAAGGGCTGAAGGTCACATGACACTACAACAGAGTGGATCATGGACCTCCAGTCTGTGTGTGCTGGTGTTACTTGCGCTGATGGACATTTGTGCTTGAACATGTTTTTGAAGGATGAACTACAGCACGAAAGTCCAATAATAGAATACCTAACTAAATAAAAATACAAATAAAAAACCCAATTAATATAATACTATGGTTTGAAGTATTTTCATACCAGGATGATTCTATTTTAGAAGAATGACTTGCTCATAACACGGCCTTTATCTCGTCTCTCTTGTCTCCAGTGCATTGAGGCGTCTCCCTCTGCAGCTGAGGCCTTCAGCTCCGCTCTGTCTCTGAAACTGTGTCAGCTCTGTCTGCAGCTGCTGCACTCCTTCACTAACAGGTAAATGATATTTTACAGTTTGCAGTGGTCCAAAGTTACTCCTCTCTTATTTTATCCATTCAGATAAAATAATTATCCTAAAAAATATCCTAATTATTCACATCAGTGAGTTTAAAAGTAAGACATATTTTGACCTCAAGAGCAGCTTCTATGATGTACAGTATATACATTAACTTAGCAACTTTAACACCAGCTCTTATTGTTTTTAGCTTCATACACATTTAGGCTCCACCTCATCAGATTCTCTGTGTGGTTAAGATTAGGCACAAATCTGTAATGGTTAATGTAGGAAAAGGTAAAACTTCTTCTATAACTTCTGTAGCTCTACTTTGAAGACAGCGCTCTGAAGACAGTGGGTTGTGACGCTCTTATGGTGAGGCCTCTCACACCTCACTGCCCCTGCAGAGTCACTCCCAGCGCCCACTGCTGGCTTTTTCTCCTACGTCCTGGACATATTTTCTAATCACTAACAATATTTTAAATTGTACCACTAGAAGAAGTGTCCAGAGTTTAAAACGTCTCAGTGCTGTATATGATCTGATGTTTACAGTAGAGGCGTTCTCTTAGCGTCTTTTCTTTTACAGCTACAAACAGCAGTGGTTCGAGTGGCTGGAAACACTCCAAAAGAAGAAAATAGCCGACCAACAAATGCTGCAGTTTTTCAGGACTCTGAAAATCTGCAAAGAATTCAAGTGAGGACAATATATTTATGACTTCAGTGAGAAATATTTCACTGCATGTAATCCAAATGCAATAAAGACATCTGAAACAAATCTGAAACTAAATGTAAAAGATTTAACTAATTTGACCAAATACCAGCTCATAGTGACCAAAAGTGGTCTTGCTAATGAGGGAGTTAGCTTCAAGGTTTGGATCTTTTTGGGCCAAGATTAAAGACTAAACCAACCACCAACCAATCCATGACTTATAACTTGAATATAGACAATAAATTCATATTATTCTTGTATATTGTGCTCAATTTCCCTTTAGTCAGTTTTCCAACAACATATAACATGAATGGGAACAGTACCTTGGGACAGTTGTAATTAAAGAGTTAAATGTTCATTGGTGTTTTGTCTCAGGGAATACCTCACAAAGACCAAACTCAAACGACCTGAAGTCCAGGACGTGTCTGAAGAGGTTGAGATGTTCCTCACAGAGACAGAGAAGTTTACTCACACAGTTGTTCTGGACACTGTGGAGGTGTTTGCTGAGGTACAGAAAGTTCAAATGTACCACCAGTGATTTTATATTTCAACTATTCATGATCCTGACTTTCCTCAGAGCGGTTTTAAAAAGTACTTTGAATCAAAGCACACATGTGATTTCCTGAAGACAGACCTGAAGAAGCTGTTCAGACCAGAGCACTGGCTGAGTCTGGAGGAACACAAGGTGAGTTCATTTACTCACAGGGATCACAGATAACACTAAATACATCAGGACATAGAGCAGACTATTATCCACTTCTGCTCCAACTGTTTGCTCTGTTTTCCTCATGGACTCTGTGATGAGCACAACACTGACACAAGGCTGAACCTTAAAGGACAAAGCACTGTTTGTTTTGGATCTTAAACATGCCCTTGAGTGCTTTTGCTTTGGTATTTCATGTTCTAGCATGTAAAATAATGTCTCTCTTCAGACAAAAGACATGATGTTTTTACTGAGACGCTCCAGTCCTGGTAATCTGGGTTTGGACAAATCTTTACAAAAGAAGTTTAAAACAGCTGATTAAAAACATTTCTCCCCGTCACTGTCAGATTGGACTTTTAGTCTATAACCTAATTAACCTTAGCGCTTGTTTGATTTGGTGACACAGATTTAGATTTATTTTAAAAAGAACAGGGGACTCTGGACTTTTACAGGGTTTAGAAATTGTGTTTTTATGGGTTTTACTAAACAAAGATTCATCACATATGTGTGTATAAAGCCTGACAACAATAAAATCTTGAAGAGCCTCTTGAACCACCACACGTCCATGTTCATTCAACTGGTGGTGATAAGTTGTGTAGCCACAGCTGCCCTGGAGGCAGACTGAAGGAAGTGATGCAGTTAAACTGTGTTATCAGCGTCTGTCTTCTTCTGTGTCCAGAGTATGATGGCTGAGTGCTACAAACAGATAGTGCGTCTCTACGTCAGTCATGTGAGCAGCTGTAAACTGACCAGACTCAAGAAGAAGTGGAACCAAAACGTGGAGTTTTCTGTGTGTGAAGACGCGAAGCACATCCATGAAACCTTCTCCAACCTGGTAAAACACACTGTGCACGATAAGGTCATTTAAGAGGCCAAACTTATGAGGTTCTGTTTGTGTCAAAAAATGGACTTTGCACCTTTGTTGATGGTCAGTGTAGTTGTTTAGTGTTACACTTGGTCTACTGCTGTTTCAATTGATTCTGTCTTTTGTTTTTAATCCAAGTGTTGTTTGTTTATGTCCTCTGGCTCTTCCAGGAGCTGTGTTCATTGCCGGCAGTAAGTCAGACCTGTTCCTGGTGCATGTTGGACTCCGCCACGGCTGCCCTTTGTCACCGGTTCTGTTCATTGTATTTATGGACAGAATTTCTAGGTGCAGCCAGGGGCCGGAGGGGGTCCGGTTTGGGGACCACAGGATTTCATCTCTGCTGTTTGCAGATGATGTTGTCCTGTTGGCTTCATCGAACCAGGACCTGCACTGGGGCGGTTTGCAGCCGAGTGTGAAGCGGCTGGGATGAAGATCAGCTCTTCCAAGTCCGAGGCCATGGTTCTCGACTGGAAAAAGGTGGCTTGCCCTCTCCGGGTGGGTGGGGAGTCTTTGCCTCAAGTGGAGGAGTTCAAGTATCTCGGGGTCTTGTTCACGAGTGAGGGGAGGACGGAACGTGAGATTGACAGGCGGATCGGTGCAGCGTCTGCAGTGATGCGGTCGCTGTATCGGACCGTTGTGGTGAAGAGGGAGCTGAGCCGAAAGGCGAAGCTCTCGATTTACCGGTCAGTCTTCGTTCCTACTCTCACCTATGGTCATGAGCTCTGGGTAGTGACCGAAAGGACGAGATTGCGGATACAAGCGCTTGAAATGAGTTTCCTCCGCAGGGTGGCTGGGCGCTCCCTTAGAGATAGGGTGAGGAGCTCAGTCACACGGGAGGAGCTCAGAGTAGAGCCGCTGCTCCTCCACGTCGAGAGGAGCCAGTTGAGGTGGCTCGGTCATCTGTTCCGGATGCCTCCTGAGCATCTCCCTCGGGAGGTGTTCATGTCCCACCGGGAGGAGGCCCCGGGGAAGACCCAGGACACGCTGGAGGGACTATGTCTCTCGGCTGGCCTGGGAACGCCTCGGGGTCCCCCCGGAGGAGCTGGAGGACGTGTCTGGGGTGAAGGAAGTCTGGGAGTCCCTGCTTAGGCTGCTCCCCCCGCGACCCGGCCCCGGATAAGCGGACGAAAATGGATGGATGGATGGATGGCTCTGTCATTACATTAATCCCCTGTTGTTACATCATTTTACCATGTTGTTGCCTCTTTTCTGTTGGCACAGTTCACTTGGGGCCTTGGAGTGTGTTTGTTGGTCCCTCTAGCCCAGTTGTGTTTCCAGGCTCCGGGTCCAGAGGCAGAGCTCTGCTCTGTGAGACAGTGACACAACATTTCCTCCATAAAATCTAAATCATACCTGAATCATACTCTTAAACATAAGGCAGATCTCAATAATTCACGAAACATGTTTAGTTTATGGCACTGTAAGACGAGACTAACGCACAAACAATAAACTACTTCTAGTTTTACTTCTGTTTTTTTTCTACATTTACAGATAATGCAGGAGGTTTGTTTAATTTGAAATCACATTAAGTAATGCTTTCTTTTGTGGAGCATGTCAACTCAACATTTAAGTTACTATAACTGGAAATAGGATGGTTTATCACAAGACCTGGTCTGCTTTTTGCCATCATGGGTTTGAATTCTCTCTTGTTCCTTGTGTAGCCTGTCAGTCACGCTCCGTGAAAGTGTTCTCTGTACAGAGCTGGCTACAGATCACTTTAGAAACAAGACTAATGTCATTTACCTTGTCGTCTTTATATGTGGTCTTATATCCTATATGTCCTATATGTTTTTTATGAATAAATTCACATTTTCAAAAGGTACCCCTCCACACACTGAATTAAGCTTACTGTCTCATGTTAAAATGATGTGGAAAGACAACGTAACAGTGGATAATGACAACACTTACAGTAGATGATGTATAACACTAAACAACTACACTGACCATCAAAAAGTCCCAGAGGTCATCATCCCTTTGACACAAACAGAACTCTGTACATACTAAAGGTTCCGTCTGTTCTTAGTGCCCTGGAATGGAGGAGTGGAACTTTCCTTTAGATTGCATCAGTGATTTGTTAAAGACAGAAGACATAAACGCCCTCAAAGTATCCACTGGGCATCTGGTGAAAAAATACAAGGACAGTGGGTAAGAAATATGTGTCAGAGTGGTTATCATGCCTCCTCCTCTCAGCGAGGAGGTTGTGGGTTCGACTCCTGACGTCTCTGTGTGTTTTCAGTCTTACATTGGACATGTCTCTGCCATTCACCCTGCTCCAGTGGAAAGGCCTGCCCCAAAAACAAATCCGAGAAATCCTGACGTCTTTGCAGAAAGTGGAACCAAATCTTGTGAACCCTCTGGACAAATCCTGTGTTATTGCATAAAACACACCTACTGTTTATGTTTACCAGGCCTGTTAAAGGAGCTGTATGAAACATTTAGATTTTACATTTCATAAACTTGACAAATCAAATCAAATATGACTTTTACTAATAACAATGGAAATACTGATTTATTCTTAATCACAAAAACATTGGACACATCTCATTTATTTACGAATGAGCCTCACGTGAGTCTTTCAGTAGCAATTTCAGCGCTGAAATCCAGTGTGTTTAAACCTAAAAAGTCTCCCTCTGATCTGAATGATCTAAACCTAAACTAAACCCCTGCTAGTGCAGCCTCTGCAGCTCATGGAGAGAATTCTGGACGTTCTGTATGGAGTAAGAAAGCTGTCAAAAATATTCGTGCGCATAAAATAGAAATCCGTGCGTATTTGGGAAATCCGTGCATATTTGGCTGTAGTTGCGCATAAAATAAATATTTGTAAACTCTCAAATGAGTCCAGTCGTACATAAAATATATTGTGTGTATTTTATCCATCAGAATATGAATTGAAAAATTACGACGTCATGAATTACAATTACGAAATGAAAATTTATGATTAGGCTTTCATCAGTACGAAAACGAATTCACAGACGGAATTTTACTGTCAAAAATACGTCATCATTTCACAGACATTATTCATCGAGCAGAAGAAACATCGATCAAGATCAAGGCTGTGCAGCTCAAGTTTGTAGCAGAGTAAAAACAGAGTAATAGCACAAGAAGCTACAACAGCGACCAACAAGTGGGTTAATTAAAATCTATTGTAAAAATGTCTTGAATTCGGGAACCGAACGCTGCTGTATAATATTATGTAGAAACACCTCCTTTGAACGGGAAATTGCACCTATATGTTAGAAAACATAGTGGAGCCAGTTGGCAACATCCGACATAACGTTATCCCAGGGCTAATTAGCAAATATCAGGTTCTCTGTAGGTTTAGATTAAAACATTCACGACTACAGCCACAGCGAACATCAGTCAGTCTTCACTTCAGCTGCATTTCAGTCAATGGGTTTTTCATGAGTTATAATGGGTTATAATGAGCAAATCCATCCACGTCACGGTGACGTTAAACTTACGGTAAATACTGTAAACATACCAAGGTGTTGCCTGTAAACACGAACATTAATTGTTGCTGGAAGCTGCATTAAACTGTAATGTGTAACATTTCATTAGCTGTGACGTCTGTAACCAGGACAGTTTGGTGTTTGGTGTAAACTGGAACATTTCAGCGTCCCGAGGAACTTTTGGTGGCATTTCATGCGAGAAATGCAGCTAAAGGTTCAGACTGACTGATGTTCGCTGTGGCTGTAGTCGTGAATGTTTTAATCTAAACATACAGAGAACCTGATATTTGTTAATGAGCCCTGGGATAACGTTATGTCGGATGTTGCCAACTGGCTCCACTATGTTTTCTAACATATAGGTGCAATTTCCCGTTCAAAGGAGGTGTTTCTACATAATATTATACAGCAGCGTTCGGTTCCCGAATTCAAGACATTTTTACAATAGATTTTAATTAACCCACTTGTTGGTCGCTGTTGTAGCTTCTTGTGCTATTACTCTGTTTTTACTCTGCTACAAACTTGAGCTGCGCAGCCTTGATCTTGATCGATGTTTCTTCTGCTCGATGAATAATGTCTGTGAAATGATGACGTATTTTTGACAGTAAAATTCCCTCTGTGAATTCGTTTTCGTACTGATGAAAGCCTAATCATAAATTTTCATTTCGTAATTGTAATTCATGACGTCGTAATTTTTCAATTCATATTCTGATGGATAAAATACACACAATATATTTTATGTACGACTGGACTCATTTGAGAGTTTACAAATATTTATTTTATGCGCAACTACAGCCAAATATGCACGGATTTCTATTTTATGCGCACAAATATTTTTGACAGCTTTCTTACTCCATAGTTCTGAGCTTCACATGAGGCCTGAACATAAACTGAGAATGAGACAAACTTTTATGTGTCGTCAGTCTGCAGGTTAAGACACAGGTTGAGTGAAACAGTAAGAGCACACACATACAGCTCCTTTAAACACACTGCTGAGGGAAACTTACTTCTTTTTCTTAAATGAGAGTAATGCAACCTAACGAGCACTAGAGGGAGCTACAGACACAAGCCATTCACACAAAGATTGTACTACTTTATTTATTTTATTAGATTATTTTAAAGAAAAGCTCACATCTATATATCTATGTTTTAATGTTTTTAATGTTATAATGACTCTTTAATGCACTATTTCATGTAAGCTATGTTCTTACGATATGTTTGATTTTATTTTGGTGCTTTGAGGGGAGTTGGTTTGACTTTGGTCTCACGGTTTTTTGGTCTCACCTGATAAGTGTCCATTATGAGGGCAGTTATCACGTGACTTCTGCATAAAGAAAATGCTGCTTTTACACTGTATATGTTCAAAAGGGACTGAGAATGTTGTTGTAAATATTTAAATACAATAGTTGATCCTGGTGTAGTTTAATAATGCATTGGATTTACATCAAAACTTTAGACATTTCATTTTTCATTTCCTCCACACTCATACTGACACTTCTGTAGCCACGGCTGCCCTGGGGTAGAATGATAAAAGTGGGGCTGCCAGTCTGCACCATCAGCCTCTCTGACCACCACCAACACTCACACACCACACTGCACCACACAGGCTGGGAGGGTGAAGTGTCCTGCCTAAGGACACAACAACAGTATGCACTTGTGTGGTGGTTTAGTTGAAAAAAAAAAAAGTCTTGGCCGAGATCTTCCATAATCAATATTTTTGTTTGTTATTTATTATTTCTGTTTTAATCTTTGATCATTTTACATCTAGGTACAGAAATATTAAGATGTATTACTACTACAGTTATTACTACTACTGCTACTACTACTGCACTTAGTGTACTATTGCTATAACTATGATCCATAGAGTTGTTTTGTGCCTCTTCTGTCTCAACTCAAATTACTGGACAGTTTCAGGAAAGTGCCACTTCCTTCCTGAAAAGAGAGAAACACATCATACGCTCAAGTCATTACAGAACAGGTCCAGGTCCAGGTCTGAACCAGGTCTAACACAGATCCAATCCAGGTCCGATTCACATCTATACCAGGTCTATAACCCAGGTCTGAACCAGATCTAACCCAGGTTTAAACCAGGTTTAATCCATATTTAAATCATAACCAACTCAGATCTAAACCAGGTCTGAACCAGGTCTGACCAAGGCCTAAACCAGAACAGACCTGGTTTAAAGTGCATGTATAACTGTGGCACATTTACATGTTGAACTAACACATGTTGATTCATGTGCACTGTCCCACATTTAATAAATAAACACAAGAATCAAGAAATAAAACCAGAATTAAACCCTCTCAATGCCAAGACTAAAACACCTCCAACATATCATATATACTGACCAGAGCCCTGAACCAACTCTCAACCAGTTTAGTCCTGGTTTGCTCCTGGTTTAGTCACAGTTTAATCTCAGTTTAGCCCTGGTTTAGTCCAGGTTTAGCTCTGCTTAAGCTTTGGTTTAGCCCAGGTTTTGTACTGGTTTAATCCCAGTTTAGTTCTGCTTTAGCCTTGGTTTCAGTCCTGGTTTAGTCCTGGTTTAGTCCTGGTTTAGTCCTAGTTTTAGTCCTGGTTTAGTCCTGGTTTAGTCCTGGTTTAGTCCTGGTACAGACCTTTTCCTGGACTGTTTTTGCTCCTGTTTACCTGTGGGATCCTGCTGTAGTAGAAAATCTCACTTTTTTGTGTTGGAGTTTCCGAGAAGAGTAGAAATGACTTCCTTTTATTGTCCTGAGCGTGTGTGTGTTGAGTGTGTGTGTGTGTGTGTGTGTGTGTGTGTGTGTGTGTGTGTGTGTGTGTGTGTGTGTGTGTGTGTGTGTGTGTGTGTGTGTGTGTGTGTGTGTGTGTGTGTGTGTTGAGTGTGTGTGTGTGTGTGTGTGTGTGTGTGTTGTGTGTGTGCGTGTGTGTGTGTGTGTGTGTGTGTGTGTGTGTGTGTGTGTGTGTGTGTGTGTGTGTGTGTGTGTGTGTGTGTGTGTGTGTGTGTGTGTGTAGTTCTGGTTCTAAACCAGGACTAAACCATCATTTCTAGGCCTAATTGAAAGCAGCAGTGATCTCATATAGAAATCATTTCTCTATCAATAATATTTTGAATCTTCTTGAGGAAAGACTGGACTTTTGATTTTCTTTTAGCACATAAAACATCTCATGTTAAGATTTCCTGCTCTTTGCTTCTGTACAACAAACAAAAGTCTGTTCATGGAGACTTGGGCTCAACAGACAATTTGAAGAGAACAAACGAGAATTTTCAGGATGTGGTCGATACATTCATGTAGTTTTAAAAAAACATGACAATATCAAGTAATCCAAAGTATTCAGATTACGTTACTCACTTTAAGTAACTAAATGGATTCCGTTACAAAATACATTTTGGGGTATGTAATCTGTAATCTGTAGGGGAATATATTTTAAAAGTCACCTTCCCAACACTGATGACTGAAAGGTTTTTTTATCTGCACTTTTCTTTTATTATGACTTTTGATTGTGATTTGAATGTCTTTCATATTTTGTAAAACACTTGTCTTGTTTGTTTCTTATTATTGTGGGGTCAGTAGTATTAAGCAGGCACAGTAATGAGAGTGAATTAGAAAGCACCACCCACCTCATTTTATTTTGGATTATTTTATACCAAATTGGTATAAAGGAAATTGTATTTTTTTATATATTTTATGTACACAAGAAACAGATATGATTCTACACAGGAGATATGCTGGGGATGCACGCAGGCAGGGGAAGGCAACTCGGGGGGGCCTCGCAGGTCCTCATTGTAAAATGTGCCTGGACGTGAACAGCCTGATCATAAATGTGTCTCTTGTGTTTCAGTGCATACGGCATTAAATGGAAGTAAATATACACTCTCTGAAGCCTCTTTATCCCACCACAAGTGCTACATTATTAGAAATGTTTTCTACTCAAAGTATGTTTCTAATGATCAACCTACATACACTATGGTTAGAAAGAAAGTCAGTTCATCAGAATATACCAAGCCCTAATGATTCAATAGAACACATGACACAAAACCTTTTCATTTGTATTTTTTTTGATTATTTATTTTTAATGCATGCTGAAGACGAGGCAGAGGACCAATAAAGAAAGACGTTTTCCTCTAGAAGCTCGTTCAAATCAATAAAAACTGTACACGAAAAAGCACAAACTGGAGCAATCAATCAATAAATCAATAAAGTGGATGAAAAACAGTCAAGTGTTTTTCCAAATCAGGTTTGGAGGCAGGAGGTAGGATTTAGAAGGTAGGGTTTGACCTTCTCCATTGTCTCTTTCTTCTGCTCCTTGGAGGTCTGTGGCTAGTGAGGACGTTCTCCAGCCTTTCGGTCTTTTTTTCAGGAGGCTGGTTAGTAGCCTGCTGTCTGTGGACCTCCCTTTTCTGCTTCTTAGGTTCTGGCTCTCTGTCCTTGATCTCAGTGAGGATCTCTGTGGAGCTGTTTGACTCTTTCTCCTCACAGATAACCTCCTCCATAACCTTCTTCGGGGTATGGAGTTCTTTCTGGTTCTTGGACAGTTCCATCTCCAGTCGAGCACGTTTCTTGTTCATTTGACTACTTATGTCCTCTACATCTTTTTCAGACCTCATTCTAGCCTTTTGCACAGACCTTTTGAAGTCGTCTCTCACATGTTCGACCTCTTCCTGGTGCGTTGTGCTTTGTTCTGCTAATATATTCTTTGCTGCAGACAGTTCTTTCTCCAGTTTTCTGTTTTTCTCTTCTTTCAGGTCCAGCTCACATTGAAACTGGCTCCTCTGCTCCTCCGTGCTCTGTTCTAGAGTCACTATTGCCTCTTTCATAGACTGGAAATCTTCCACCATGGCAGGTTTTGTGATCTGCTCTTTTTCAATCACGTCCTGCAGGTGGCGTATGATGTTGTCCTTTTCTCTCAGAGCCTTTTCCATTTCTGCGCTTCTCTCTCTCTCCTCTTCAAGCGCCCGCTGACCCATCTCTTCACTACGCCTCAGAATCATCTCTGTCTGATGCAGTTCATCTTCTAAACTGGCAATCTTCTCTTGCAGGCACTTGTTTCTAGCTTCAGTTTCCCTCAACTGCCTTTTGCTCTCTTCACACTCTCCAATCTGACGTTTGTTGATCTGGATTTGGACCTGAAGTTTGTTGTCGAAATCCTCTAGTCCCATTTCCATGAATTCTGTTACCACTCTCCAAATCCTTTCGTTTTCATCCTCGTTTTGAAGTCTGGAGACCACTTCTTCCAGGTCGTCTATTTTTTTACCGTCCTCCACCGTAATCTTATTAGCCTCAGTTAACGGTGATGAAGACCTCATCCCCTCCTCCATTTCCATACACTTCACATTCAACTCCCAATTCTCTTTATCAAGTCTGGAGACCTCCTTTTGCAGTTGTTGGCTTCTCTGACTCTCCACCCTCAACTTATCCTGCAGCACATTGGTCATTTGTTTGTGCTCCTGGATTTGTTTCTCTTTTTCTTTTTCAACCAAAGCATTTTGTTGAGTTTGGTTGATTTTCTCTAGTTCTGCCTCTAGATGAACAGTTCTCTGGTCTGTCTCCTCCTGGATGTTTTTGGAGGTGATGTTGGACTCATGCAGAGCCCTTTCCACAGTGGCTCGCTCCGCTCTCTCCTTCTCGATCTCATTTTGGAGAGCGTGGATGGTCTCCTCAGCTGTACTGAGCCGACCTCTCAGGTCTTTCACCAGGCTGCTGCTTGTCCTGAAAAGTTTGACCATCTTGGGAGCTTTGCTAAAATGCTGCTTCTCTTGACAAGTTCAAGTGATTTCTGAGCTCTGGATGGCAGCTACCATACAGACTTTGATCAGTTATGTAATAAAGTCATGTTTTGGAACTGTGACCATAGAAACCATAGGTCACCATAGAAACTCAGAATTATCAAGTGATGACATCAAAGCTTTAGGATTCAAACACAAAAATAAACAACCCCTAACAATACACAATAAATAAATCAATGCTTTTGGAAAGAAAATCCTATTGAAATTTGATCCATTTATTTATGTATTTAATCAGTACAACTTTATAATAACTGTACTTAGTGCTACAAAAGAAAAAAAAATCATAATGAAAAATGAGATCATGATTCAAGTTTAGTAAAGGCCCTACCTAAAATGATGTCTATATTTGTATTATTATTAAATGTTCTTCTTTGATTATGATTGTAATATTGTATATATGTGCTGTCTGCAACTCATTTCAATGGTAAATGGTCCCATTTTCTACAACGCTCTTCTACCTTTAAGGCCCTCAAAGCACTTTACATCAAGGAACCACTCACCCATTCACACACACATTCAAATACAAGGGCACGCCAACACTGGGGGCAAGAGGGGTTTAGTGCCTTGTCCAAGGACACAACAGCAGCATTGGTTTGTGGGAGCTGGAATCACACCATCAACCTGTGAGTTAGTGGATCTGACGCTCAACCAATGGTGTTAATGTGGAGAGCTGCTTTTGAACTGCCAACTTTTCGATCAGTGGACGCTACCAACTGAGCTATTGTCCCTAATAAAGTGTTTCATTATCCAAGAATCAGGAAGAGTGTGTTAGCTTGCTAGTTTTTGGTACCTTTACTGTCATGGCAAAACTCTTCACTGCTTTTGTTGAAGGGAACCCAAACAACAATAGTGCTGTACTTCAAACTGTCTACGTTATGTGATTTTCAACAGACTCACATGTTCAGCCTGTGAATGTCACTGCTTCACACAATCGTGGCGATTTGCTCAGTGCTCAACCAAATGTTCTATGCATGAGAAGAGAAGCTTTGTGTGTCCTCTGAACATGTGGAGCTGCTGTGTGCCTTATGTCTTACCTGCATTAAGCCGCCGGTGTTTTCTGTGTGGGCAGATGAAAGAAAATGGGAGACTCATACCAAAAAGGTCTAAATGTGGAGAATCATGGTGATTGTAAAAGACGGGCTTTACCAGATGGTCACTCAGCACACCTCTTTCTCCTCATGCCAAGCTCTGTACATCAACGCCCCCACTGTGTTTCATGTATTGTTGACATAACCAAAATCAAAATTTAAAGGTGCACCATGTCTTTTTTCTCGAGGAGGATCTGTCACCTGCGCAGTCGTTTATTTGTCTTGAATATTTCACTGTATGACATTAAACACTAATTTGCAATTATTTCCTTACAGTTGCTTTATTGTCCCAACAATACCTTGAAAACCAAGCTTTCTTACTGTCTCCACAGATCTGACATGTTACCCATGGCCTGCTTGTCTCTATGAAGATAAATAAGATTAATGCCCTACTGTGGAACATAAAGACAATGCAACAACATCTCCACGGGTGCAGGACCCTCCACCAGAAAAAGCAACACAAACTGTTGTAGACCTTTAATAATTTCTGGATTCTTATAACATTGAGTCAATAGGCGAGTTTCAACTGACGTGATTGTTATTAAAAGCCCGCGTTGCATGCTGGGAAATATTTTGGTCGGAGGTAAGAAACACGATAGCGTCAAACACAGTGCGTAACCTCGCGTATTTATCCCTGATAATGGTAAATTCCTGCTGCATTATCGGATGCACAAATAGAAGCACAGAAGAAGGAAAATGTCTTTTTCGTATTCTGAGTGAAAAGAACCACTAACGGTGAATTAAACGACTTTCAAACATCCGCAGAGCAAACGTAGAAGATCCTAACAAACCGTGGACTCCAACAAGTTCAACAACACATCAAGACTCTTGGAGGTTTTCATCTTTTCTGCTGTGAATGGCCCAGGAGTTTCCACCAAGTCATTGTGGATATCACCAAAGTGAATATTTGTCCAGGTAGTTGGAGATTCTGACCAGAAATTTGGTTTGGTCCAGGCTCTGTCAGGTTGAAAAGGGAGATTTGGCTCCATCGATGCTTATGACCAATTTCTGGTCAAATGGTCTTGGGTCCTCTGCTGTTAGAGTGGAGAAATAACCGGGATCAATACCCTTTACGTGCTTTACGTGAATATAAATATTCACCTTATATTCACAGTTACACCCAGCATTTTTCACAATTCTAAAGGTTGTTTTCTTGCGTTAGAGCCAAGGTCTCTGCTCAATACATCTACCACCACTGGTTGAGAAAGAATGTCTCAGGAAACAGGAAGGATCATAGGAGTGGAGTGACCTATAGCTCCTATACAGGTCTACAAATGTCTCTTTGTCTCAATGTAGTGCACATCTATAGTGGAATTTCTGCATTTCCAAGCTGCAAATGAAATTCATGATGTATGTTTTTGGTTACCAAGGAGGTCAAGGTTCAATGGCACTTTGGAAGAGGTCAGTCTCCAGTAGTTGCAGCAGATTGTAGAAAGAAGGAGCTGGAACAGATTCATAGTCATATTCATAAAGCAGATGCACTCAGTGTTAAGACCCAGCTTGTTCGGGGTGAGGGGAGTAACAAAAATAAAACCAAGATTTAAAATGGAATAAATTAAATGTTTAATTAACAGGAATGTAAAGGTAAATTAACAAAAGACTAAAATATACAGAAAGCAACCTAACCTAAGAAACAGAACAACAGAATAAATAGTTTTGTGCCAGAAAAGGGGTCACGCAGGCTTACAAAAAACAAGTGGTAAAACTTAGGGACACAAACTAAACTAAACACAAGTTCCCCAAATTAAACCACATAAACCCACAAACAGAATCGAGTGACCACATCAAAAAAAGCACAAAACAGAACTAAACTAAACACACAAACAAACACTAAATGGCAGACTGCCCACCAAGGCCAGCAGCCCTGAGCAGGTGCTGTAATCTCCTTAAATAGGGGGAGGTGGCTGCAGGTGAGGTGGGCGTCGACCTGCCCCACCAATCACGGACCACGGCTCCTGTAGCAGGAATCAAGAGAAGTCGGCAAAAATCACACAAACAAATTAGACCTAAGGCCTGGGGCTCCATCAACACTCAGGTCAAAAAGTGGAACTCAAGTCTTATGAGATTTGGTCTGTGGACTGTGGCCTGAACTGATTCAAAGACCCATCAAGGTTTTAAGGTTCATTCTGTAACTTTTCTGGTGGAGGGTCCATCAAATGCTTTTTTCCGTGGAGATGTTATTGGTTCATCTGAAATGTGTCACAGTATGATATTAAACCTTTCTCTTTTGATGGAGACCCAGCCAGGCGAAGGTACAGGTCAGATCTGTGGAGAGGCAACCCCATTCCCAGCATCTTTTTTTTTTTTTTTTTTTTTTTTAAAGGTATTTCTGAGCTAGAAAACCACCTGTAATTAAATAAATAAGGTACAGCTGTTTAATGTCGTACAGTGGAACATACCAAGCAGAGGAATGAAATAGTGACAGATTATTATAATTTATTATTATAAAAATTACATAGTGGACCTTTAATTTCTTAATTAACTTGGAACAATATGCAGGTTTTAAAGGCACAGCACTTAACTGGTTTAAATCTTATCTCACAGACAGATGTTTGTCAGTACATCTTGGCCCCCATAAATCTAACTCTGCTCCACTTACCTGCGGTGTTCCACAAGGATCTATTCTAGGTCCTGCATTATTTTCTCTTTATTTGTTGCCTCTAGGCTCAGTTCTTAGAAAACACAATGTGTCTTATCATTTTTTACGCTGACGACCTGCAAATCTATTTGCCCTTATCACCTGCCCCTGGCTCCATTAGTAGCTTGTCCTATTGTTTAGAGGAAGTGAAATCATGGCTAGCCCAAAACTTCTTAATTTTTAATGAGAAGAAGACAGAAATTGTGGTTTTTAATCCTAAATCCTCCACTGGTTTACATCACAACCTTGGCGCACTGTCTCCTTTTGTGAATTCCTCTGTCAGAGACCTTGGAGTATTCTTTGACAATTTGTTCAAAATGGACAAACAAATAACCTCTGTGGTAAAGGCCAGCTTCTACCAGCTCAGAATACTGAGTAAAGTGAAGGCTTACCTTCCAGCCAGTGACTTTGAACGACTTATTCACTTGTTTATAATGTCTCGTCTGGATTACTGTAATTCGCTGTATTGTGGACTAGACCAGCTCTCCTTACAGCGCTTACAACAAGTCCAGAATGCTGCAGCTCGTTTAGTAACAGGGACGAGAAAGAGAGAGCATATCACACCTGTACTGGCCTCTCTCCACTGGCTTCCTGTTCCTTTCAGGATTAATTTTAAAATTCTAATATTTGTTTTTTAAATCCCTGAATGGCCTGGCTCCTGAGTATCTGTCTGAGCTGTTATCGCGCTATGTTCCAATCAGACCCCTCAGGTCAGAAAGCGGTTTGCTATTAAATGTCCCAAAGTCATGTTTGAAAACTCGGGGTGACAGGGCCTTTGCTGTGGCTGCCCCCAAGTTATGGAACAATCTGCCTCTCCACGTTCGAGCTGCTCCATCACTGGAGATTTTTAAATCTGATCTTAAGACACATTTCTTTGCTGCGGCTTTTAACTCTAATTAAATGTTTTATAAGCTATGTTTAATTTTTTTTGTTTTTGTTGTTTGTTTTATTATTATATAGATATATTTTTCATATTTATTGTGCTGTATTTTTTACTATCTTTATTGTGCATGTGAAGCACTTTGGGCAGCTTGTGTTGTTGTAAATGTGCTATACAAATAAAGTTGACATTGACATTGACATTGACATTGACAATAAGACATTTTGAGAAACATTTCATTTATGAGATACATTGTTCCTACATCACTGTACAACATAACAGGCTTTGTTCCAATCACTGGCAGTGTTTTCTCCCCTTCCACCCCCTCATTATT